TGAGCTTGAAAGTCCCCCTGACAGTATCCTTGGATGCTGTGAACCTCCTTCTATTCCCTTCTCCAGAAGAGAAGCAATTTCAGCAGAGTTCACACCACGCCATGAGAAGCTGCTGCTTTACTTTGCTAAGAAGAAAATTTTGGATTTTCTCAAACGACTCTGCTCACACCTATCAACACAGAGCTTTTGTTGTCCCCCACGTCAGCCTACCCACACTCATCCAGATGACTGAGGCAGCCAGGAAGAGCTCTAACTTCAGACTTAGGAAAGTCTGACTCTTCCTGCCTTGTGACAAACTTGCACAAGCATCACCAATCACAGTGCGTGCAGCCAAGACCTGCCCTTCCTCTTTTGCACAGTCCTCAGCCTGGCCAGCACAGAAGGCCTTTCCAAAGCATGGCCACATAACAGCCCTTGGAACAGTGTACAGCCTGCAAAAGGAGAAGTCAGTCCAGCAGCTAGACAAGAAACCACAGCTAGGAAATACTCTGGCCCCAAGCCAGCCTGGCCTCGAGCCAGGAAAGAGAAATGAAACCAGCTGAGATAGGAAGAGGCATCAGCAGTGGTGAGGCAGCATCCTCCATCCTTTGGCACTTCCATCACCAGTCAGCTCTCTCGCTACACACTGTAGGCAGGCTTGTCCTCCACATACCAGAATCACACCGTCTGTGTACATCCTCCAGAGTGAGATGCCCTGCTTAGAGACCCCGTCACCATGAAAGACAGATTTTAGTGCCCTTCCTGAATCCCAGCCCACTCTGGGATTTTCCACAGTGCAGCTGCTGAGTGGGATTGCTGGCAGGTCTGTGCGTCTCCAATGGCATCAAGGCATCACAGGGCTGTGTTTCAGCTCCTCCTTTAACACCTACTCTCCTTTGCTGCGTGCCTCAGAAACACAGGTAAAGAAGGCCATATTGCTAGTCTCAATAGCAAACTGTACAACAACATGCAAGTGCAGATGATTCGCCCAGATCTGAAGAACTGGGCTGGGAGCTCAGGTCTGCTGGTGACCTATTGGTGAGCACTCCAAAGGTTTCTGCATCAGCACAAGTGATTTGCCAGAGTGCCAGAGAACAGGCTGAGGTTCTCCTGAGCTGCACAAAGGGCACCTTTACTGCAGAAGCTGCCTGTGCTTTTTCATTTGAAAAGACAGATGTATTGTGTTGCCTCCAACACACCGAAGCAGATGCTGAGAAGTGGAAGCTCTTGAATTTGCCCCCGCAGCTGCAGGGTGCTCAGGCTGGGCAGGGGACACAGCTTTAGGCCTAGGAGTCCCATCAACAAACAACTGGATATCATTCTAGAAAAGCTCTCTCCAGAGCTTTGGCTGGAGCAGGCTGCAGCTCAGCCTTGCAAAGCAAGGGTAAGACATTACCATTTTCTGGCTCCAGGCACGCAGTCCTTTCTCTAATGAACTGCCAAGGTTAAGCACTACTAGCAGGAGAAAGGAGAGACCCTGCACAGTGCCTGCACCACCCCTGTTGTCTATGATAGAATAAGAAGAAATGGTTTCAAACTAAAAGAGGGGAGATTTAGACTGGTTATACAGAAGAGGTTTTTCAGAATGAGGGTAGTGAGACACTGGCACAGGTTGCCCAGAGAGGTGGTGGATGCTCCATCCCTACAGACAGCCAAGGTCAGGCTGGACAGGGCTCTGAGCACCTGATGGAGCTGTGGGTGCCCCTGTTCAGTGCAGGGGATCTGAACTAGATGGCCTTTGAGGGTCTCTTCCATTTCAAAAGATTCTATGATCCCTACCAGGTCCCTTTTTGAGGTCAGAAGTTGGCCTCGTTTGTCCTCATCTTCTGCAATGCCTTACTCACAGGGTTGCTGTATCACCAGTGAATTCAGCAGCACAAATCTCCATTTCTTCACCCCAGCCAATATTGCATGAGAGGTAACAACCCACACACCCCCAGGCAGGACATCTGTCTGAGCAGTACATAAAGGTACAAGGACATCTTACAGCTGTGAGCATAGCAGTACAGCCAGCAAAACCACTGTTTTCAATGCAGCAGCATGGTGATCCAGAGCCTTACTTTCAGGGTTTGGGTTTTCCATTAGCAACATGTCTATGTTTGGCTCATTCCAAATTTAGGACTTGCTTTCATGCCCTCGCTTCCCCTAACTGGGCTGCTAAATGAATGACACTCAGCTTTGCAGTCTGAATGCTGCAAAAGTCACACAGAGAACTGGAAAAAGACATCATCCAAGTGACAAAAGAAGGGAGGGATGAAATTTTCGTGATTCTCAGATGTAGTTGGACAGGAGGGGAGGGCAGAGGTAGGGAAATATCAATGAGATAAGCTAAGCTAAGCTGGGTGTAGGCAGCAGCTGGTTTAAACAGTGTTCCCCCTAAGCTTAGTTCTCATTTTCTTTTTTTTCCCTCTGCCTTCAACATTTTAAGGCAGCAGGTGCACAAATGAGCCCTCAGCTCCAGCGCTCTGCAGAACCCATCTGTATTTTACCAGCGTCCTCCCAGGTGCAGCTCTGTGCTGCTAAGCGGCCTTTTAAGGAGAGCTGCCAGCAGCAGGGATCGAGTCCTGCTGTGAGCTTCAGCACTTTCCCGGAGAAACGAGCTGGTGTAACACACACGGTGTGAGCACACGTGTCCCTGGCTGCTGGCTCTGCCATCGCGGTGACTTAGGACCTACAAGCTGGCTGTTAGCTCTGGGTACGCATCCCTGCACGCCTTGTGAGCCCAGGGAGCCTGGAAGAGGAAAGAGCCTCTCGTGCAGCCCTAAGAGCTGTTTGCACCACCGCGAAGCACAATGGAAGCTTTACGCCTGAGCCCTGCAGGCAGCTCCGCGCACACAAATCATTACCGTTTCGCACTTATTTGAGCACCTCCGTCTTCCAGGTGGAAGGAATCACCGCAACAACGGGGGGAGACGCCTCGGTGCCGAGGTGGCACCTCTCGCCTCTCCCGAAGCCGAGCAGACAGCGGTCCCTCACAAAGGAAGAGCGCGGAGCCCGAGCTCGGCTGCGAGAACGGCCGCGCACCACCTCTCAGCGGAGCCGACCGGCACCGCCGCAACCATCAGCCGCTGCCCGAGGGCGACCCCGCGTGGCCGTCGCCGGTATTGCAACGGCCGCTGCGCCCCCACGCCCCGCATCGCCGCCGTCACCGCGCGGATCCCGTGCCTCAGAACACAGCTGCGGAAGCAGACAACGTGCAAAAACGGTGTCCTTTCGAAATCAATACCTTACCTGCTAAGCCACAGCCCCTGCGAGGCGCTAACGGCACGTGCAGGTGAATATGAACGTGCAAGCAGTAATTAATGCCCTGAAAATGGCTCCAACACACCAACACGAGCCTCGGTCCGTGCTGACACCGCCTGCTTGCAGTTAGTGCCGGAACGAGAAGCCCCATCTCATGGCAAAGCTTAAAGCAGAATCAGAAGGCAAACAAAAAGCAGGAATGAGCCTGTCCGATTCATTTGCTTCACATGCAATACTGGTTCAGCTTCAGAAGAGATTTCTCCACGGTTCTGCTCACGTTATCTGGCCCTTCTCTGGGGTAGCAGTGCCTGATGGCACAGAGGAGATGAAAGCCACAGTTATCCCAGTGACTTCAATGGGGAGCTTGTTCCCCCACTCCACTCTGTCAGCAGAAAGGAGCTCATACATAACAACAGCTTACCTGTCTTCTGATCACAATCATAGAATCGTTTGGGTTGGAAAAGAGCCTTCGAGGCCATCTGCTCCAACCCCCTGCAGTGAGCAGGGACACCCACAGCTCCATCAGGTGCTCAGAGCCCCATCCAGCCTGACCTTGAATGTCACCAAGGATGGGGCACCCACCACCTCTCTGGGCAACCTGTGCCAGTGCCTCACTGCCCTTACTGTAAAAAAAAAAAGAAAACCACCCTTCCTTATATGCAGTCTAAATCTCTCCTCTTTAATTCATTTCCCCTTGTCCTATCACAACAAAACTAAGGAATCTTCTCCTTTCTTACAGCCCCCATTTAAGTACTTTATTCACTTCTCTAAGCATCAACTGCTGCTGTGAGGCAGGGCACTGATGAACTTTCAGTATTAAGAACTAATTAATAAGATTATTTCGTTCTTTGAAGCAACAAAGCCTTCAAAGGAATGCTCCATGGTAAACTCAGTGCAGCCATTGACTGCAGAAGGGAAAAGATCTGGTCAGATGTGGAACTGCCATACAAGGACCCCTAACTTCAGGCTGAGGTTCAGGCAGTGCTTTCTCATAACACAAACCATCTCTCTTTACAGGAAAGGTCCTGGGCTCTCCCATGAAAACTTGCAAGATCATGCTGACATTGAAAATACAGGAAGATTGTAATGCTGCATGCTTAAAATTAGCAATTAGCTTTACAAAAGTAATAAATGTTTCCTGAACATCCGCAGCATGGAAGCTTTACAACAGAATGGTCCCCCAGACAGTAGAAATTACCATCTATCAACAGGTCTACATTTGAGCTTATAGCTGAAGTGGGGAGGTCTGTCTCCAGATCTGCTACAGTCTTCCCCTATGATTTGAAGAACTCCTGAATTTCTGACTTGACTTCTTTAACATAAAAATGCAAATCCTAATTTTTGGTCCTAATTTACTTGAAGCCTAGTTAGTTCATCTTGGCAAAATGTTGCAATTAGAAAATCAATCTGTTACTGTATTTGATCTTAAAGCTTTATCACAACACGAGAAAACAAACGAACCCAAATATATTGTAAGGCTTTACATTTCCAAAGTTTGGTCCAGGGACCATAGCTTGTAAAAAAGAACAAAAGCAGCGAGCACAGCACTCAGACCGCAGCACCCACTGTCCTTCAACAGACCTCTCCCCATCTCTCAGCACAGCCCAAGGCCTTAAACTTTGCCTTACATCTGATCCATGACAGATAAAAGAGATGTAGGCATTTTAGAAAGCCTAAGTACAGGCAGAACTTGAGACCAACTGTATCTGAACCCATTTGTTCCTTCCGAGTGTTCCGTTGTTGGTTCTGTCGCCTCACCCTTTCTTTGAATGCATCTATTAAAAACCAGAACCCTTTTATTTAAAGCAACCAACCTCTCCCATAACTCTGAAGACATTGTTCTTAACCAGACCAGCAAGCAAAGACATCTTCAGAACTGGATGACACGGGTTTTAGCACTGCAGAACTTCAGTCACGATCCTATTACAAACACCCTCCACCACCACACTCAGACCACACGGCCCAGGACTCCAGCCATATCATTACAGAACACTGCTTGGCTGCCAGACACACAGCTCAGGATGCAGAGATGCTCACCATGCGCCGGCCTCTGATTAATTGTAACGCTCGTCTCTTAATGCAGAGAGAAAACAGCCGTAGCTCTGCGAAGCTGGATCAGGAGCAGCACCAACAGACCTCAAGGCAGATGAAGAAACGAAAGGCAGAGGTTGGTCTCTGGTTGCAGATCTGAAGGAAGCAGTTTCCTTTCCAGGCAGCTGCTGGAGGCCTGCACAGTACGTGTGCAGGATGGTAAGGAAACAAAGGTATGTTCTTGCAGCCTGGCCATTTTGCAGGGCATTTGGGAAGCAAGCTGGTGAAAATCTGTTTATGATTATCTTTTTTTTTTTTTTTTTGAGACCTCGAAGACAGATGAACTCTGTAAGAACCCTCTGAAAACACCTTCATACTGAAATACAAATTTTAAATATCCAAAGTATGACACTGGTGCACTTTTTAGAAATAATTACATACTTAAGAGGTGAAGTAGGAACAGAGTATTTCAGAAAACATTTAATATGAAATCTTTTGGAACTTCCATCGAATACAGATTTACATAATTTATCAGAACACTGTTTCAGTTCAGACAACAAAGTGCACTGCCAGGTGAAAAAAAATACATTTGGAGGAGTGCTTGAAGTGTAGGAAGTGAAAGGATAGGTGACTCTTCACCTGAGAAAGTACAACGACTGCCCTGAAATGTTTTATTGCTATTACAAAATGGAGTTTTTGTGGAAAAAACCATACTGAGCAGCACAGGCACGGGCAGAGCACTGAAAGCCAACTGAACTCCGACCCAACACCGGGAGTTCCAAAGCCATGGCATGACACAGAATATACAGAGAATAAAATGCAAATCCAGGAATATTTACTACATTTAACAACTACGATCATCCTTTAAACTAGCATAGTCAATATCAATGCTCAGGGAAAGAGAGGGGAAGTCTGCTGCCTTCACAGACCGCGGGTCACAAGAACTAACTTGCAAAACACCACGGATTTTCACCTCGTGTCAGACCTGAACTGCGCACTATGAATAGCTATTAGCTCACTGCAAATTTAAAATGCAAATTTAGGCTCCAGTCTAAAGCACGCGTGAAGTACATGCTTAAGTGCTTCACTGAAATATAACCATAAAACATTAATACAAAAAGTCAAGTAGATAACGCAGGGTTTTATCTACAGAAGTCCTCGATGAAATGAACTGAGTATCAGCAGGAAACAACGCTTGAAGAAAGCTCCTGGTTCTGGTCTGCCAGCCCAAATCCAGCTCACCACAGTGGTGGTTAAGAAGAGGGGACCATCCGACAGCAGCTGGGTGTCCTACAGAAAGCTAGCTGGCCATCAGCGTCCATCGGGGCAGGTTCCGCACTGCACGGCACAAGAGCAACAGCGGACTCCCTCCTCAGCAGGATCTGGAGACACAGCCGGCATAAAGCCAAAGCAACGTGCCCAGAGCCAAGTGGGAGCATGCTGAAGGAGAGCTGCAAGGAAAGTTTTAGCTGCCACTACCTATGGCTGTAGTTAAGCAAGCTGGATGTTACAACAGGGGACAGGCAGCCAAATTTGACTCCCACTTTCGGGTTTCAATACCGTGCGCACTCAGAAAGCAAAGGAAAGCACTGCCGTGCCCGCAGCAATACTTCAGAGCAGCACAGACTCACGTATGGTGACTTGCATCAGAACGTGGCTGCTATTTGAGAGTCTTTTTGTGCTATTATCAGTCTGACCTACTGTAAGGTGGAGAACTCTGAAAGAAGAAGCCACTGGTTAGCGCTCAGCACACCACACTGTTCTGCAGAGGGACTGTGGAGCAACGAAAATTACTCTTAGCTGCAATCAAAACTCATCAGCCAGAAGGATAAAGATACAGTTTTAGTAGTTTAGCAGAAGCAGAAGAATGGAAGCATTTACCCAAATTTTAATGCACAAATCAACTACATTTTTAAAATTTGATTCAGACTTAAATAATAAATAGGTGGGCAAAATATAATGCAAGACTTACTCGGTAGAAGTGAATTTTTAATAATTTCATGAGCTCTACTTAGAAAACAGGACTAATAATGTTCACAACCGTAAATCCAAACCCTTCACACCCTTTTTTTTTTTTTTCCTTAACACAGCAGTGAATTGTAAACCTGCGTTTACTGGTTATCTCTTCAGTTATTTTAAATATTAACTCAAGTGTTTCCTCCTTGGCCATTTCAATTTTTAGCACCAAAATTAGCCCAAAAAGAGGTACTGGTACAGCTCCATGTGGTAAATGAATTGTTTACATATAATACTTTATATATTATACACACATACTGTACATTCACACGTCCACACAAACAGGAGGCATATTTAAATGAATATATTCCGTGTTTCAATTTGTTGTCAAAGACTTAGGAGCAATGGAAATAAAGCAGAAGGGTAATATTTTACATAGTAGGCAACTTTAATGCTGTAGTGCACTTATAAAAAAGTCCAACTCTCCCTCCCAGCTCAGCAGCTTTGTTTTCTTTAATATCACTATTCAGAAGGATGCAGAAGTTATTGCCTAAATGTTATTCTATACATTTCCATCGGAATTCTCAAAACACTTGAAATTGCTAACTAATTTACAACTTAACTATTTTTCTTGTTACAGCTTTAACTCATTGGCAATTTTGGAAGCAATGTTTTTAAAAGCTATGGATGTTCCCGATATCCGCTTAAAGCGAACTCCGTTCAGGGACAGTCTTGGCAGTTTACACACCTCCATTTCCCACTGTACGAGGTTTTCCGCGTGCCCATCTCCGTGGACGCAGAAAAGCAAGAAACGCTCTCTTTGTTCATAGTCACAATTATTGGCATCCAGGACCTTCCGGATTTCCCTCATCATGTCATTGGGATCCATGGAGCTGGTGGTTTTCATGCTCCATGTAAAACGCAGCGAGCGAGGCTTGGCTTCCTTGTTTTCATCCTTCTGATCCACAGCTACATTGCGGCTGAAAGAGAGCAATACATCAGTTAGCAGGGCGAGCCACTTCTCCCAGGACAGGTGTTAGCAAAGCAAACTCACAGGCAACACACATATGAGAGCAGTGTCTGGGGGCCCTGGCAGCGGGAGGCACCCCATCTCCCTCACTGCTGTACAAACACACAGTAAAGATAAAGCGTCAGCGTTCGGGGCTGAAACAAAGGTAAGGCTCAATGGGAGAAACAACTGGAGGTCACTGGAGTTGGGAGTGTGAGGGAAGTTACCTCACTGAGGAAAAACCACACACATCAGCTATGATTCGGTTTTAAGTCAAGTGTTGCTCCAAGCCCTACTCTTGGACCACTTGCCACCCAGTTCTGGGCTGGATAGGTTTCACTCTAAGAGATGTTCACTAAAGAACCACCATATTGTAGGATACTGCAGCTACCTTCAACAGAGAGGAAATATTCTGTCTTTAAGCTGGTCAGTGATTTGTTTAGTATCAATCAAGTAATGTGATGGAGTCTTTTGCAGCTAGAATCTACACACGTAAGCATCCTGAAGGCCAAAATGCAGGAAGGAGAGCTGGAAGTCACTATCAAACACAACTTAACATGGTTAGTAAGCAGCCAGGGCAAGAGGGTTCCTATTACTGCCACAGTTCTAAAAGACAGCAAAAAATATGGCTTCGTATTTCTCATTTCCCAAGTTTGCAAGGCTTTTTTTTGTTTCTTTAAAGCTTTTCCCTTGGTAAGGAGAAATAAGGTTATACAGGAGAATGAAAAACAAACGATCCAGAAATGTCTAGCTCATAATGATGCCTCTACTTCCATTAAAATTTTGTCGCAGAGCTGAAGAAGAGCTACATTTATACATTTAAGAAAAAATGGGACAGATTTTCTTTTGGAAAGCCTGCATGCTGTCAGTCGTATCTTCAAATTTACTTGTCCCCAGGGCAAGCGACTTTAATATACTGACCACAATGCTTTAATATCTTCTGAAAACACATAACCTTGTTGACCCAAAACCACACAGTTTCAGTTTCACACTGAACTTCAAAGTTCAGTTTACAATTAAGCTAAGCTCTTCTCTATGATATCTGGCAGTAAATTTCTGCTTACACAACGCTTTCTTCTCTCTCTGACCATTAAGCAGGCAATTATGAAAAAGCTACATAAAAAAAACAATAGCAAGGTCAAAAAAAACTATTGCAAAGATAACCTGTTTCATAATTTTATGTTCTATTATAAAGACTCCCAGTAACTGCAAGAATAAAAGGATTTTGCTGTCAAATCCAGCTATATGGTTTCTCAGATGCTACATACTCTTTGATTGCTGATGTACTGTGTTTTAACTGTAAAGTTTTAATTTAATGAAGCTGCAGGAGCTGGCAAAAGGGATTGGAGGAGTAACACCAACTTTTATTCAATGCCAATTTTAGAAAGCCTTTTCTACTTGAAACGGTTGGCAGAACAAATACAAATCCAGTAATTTCTAGTATTTTTAACACAACGATTTGAGGAAGAGTTTAATATGGAAAATATTTGTGATTTTGGAGACAAAAATATATCTTAACATCCTTCAGTGGTTATCCCACACATGTGCAGTCTCACTAGACACCACTTACCTACGGATCTACAAGACAACAGCAAATCATAAATACTAAAATGCAAAAAACACACGAGGGAGAAGGCAACAGGAAAGATGAAAGTTTAGAAACAAGCCAGTCACTGCTTTAAAAGCTGTTCTGCAGACAAAAACGCTTCTTGTTTAGTTTCAAAGCCTTAAACAAAACAAAAGCTGCTGCCTGAAGCCACTGTGCCACATAATCAAGGGAAGAAAGGTTCAAACTCACCTAAATAACATTTCAAACAAAAATTTTACCCTCACCTTGAGCCCTCAAATCTCCCGTTCCTCTCATATTCAGTCGGGAGCCTCATTGAAAAGAATGCAGAAGCAAAAGGAAGTGGGAAAGAGAAGACAAATCTTACACTACAATATACAATATCTGAGCAGTTGCTGAAAGACACTGTAATCATACCAAAGTTGTGTTAAAATACAAAGCAACAAAGATGTAATGAACTTTCTAGTTTAGAACAAGTTCCGAATATAACATCTTACCAAAGTATTAACTATAGTTTTTAAAAGACCCTTAGCTACTTTTGACATTGTGTGCTTATATATTTACACTATAAAATTCATTAAAGTTGAATGTCTAAAGTGGAAAGTGTCAAACAAAAATATATTAAGTTATCATTTAATAAATAAGTCCTAATTATTTTAAGCTTTTTTTTTTTTTTTTTAAGTCATCTAGGAATAAAAGTGTATATTTGAAAAAATGAATTGTTTATGAACTAGTCCAGACAAACTCTGTTTGCACACACACACCAAACCTGAAGAATTGGATATTTAAATAACACCAAGCCACCTAAAGCAAACGATCAACATATGTATACATTTTAACCAAAATTTAGAGGTAAATCCAGGATTTCCCATGCTGTGCTATTATTCTCACACTGACACATCTATATCTAAAGAAAGTTAAGCTTTCTATCCTTTTGCACTGTTTAAAGCTACATTGCTGATTGCTAATATCCCAGCATCAGGCAGAATTAAGAGGCAAGTCATCTTCCTTTACCTTCCCATTACTGCAGTACCATGGCTCCACATCTCAGCATTCATTCTGCCCATAGGAGAGCCATCTTTACAAGTAAATACATTAAAAACACCCCTGTTGGTTGATGTGTAGGGTCAAGAATGTATGACAAAAAGCTTTTTTTTTTAACGCACATTATATTTATGTTAGATTGTGTGAGGTGATATAAGGCTTAATTTCCTCATATTTTTTCCTTCTAAGGGGATGTGATGAGGAAATGGGTCTTTGAGATCAGTGGAAACAGATAATCCTTGGTCTGTGCAGACTTGTCACAGTGGAGCATTACAAGAGTACCATGAGGAGCAAAATGACAGCACTTACTGTGCAGCACATGGAGGACATCATCCTGCTGCAATATAAGTATAGGTAAGAAAATGCTATGTCACTCATCACATTGTTCATCACAAGAACATCCAGCAAGAACCCTATACAACAAGGTCCTGCACAGCACATGGTAAGATGGGATCTCTGGTAGGAGACTAGTGGACTAATAAGTTGTAACAAGCAAAGATGATAATGAAGATGATGAGAGCAACTGGCAACTTCTCAACCAATTCTAGCACTTCAAAGTGTGCTTCACTGGTAGCTATTTTCATCATAATTTTATATTCAACCTTCTTAAGGGGAAAAATTCCCACTTGTTCCTCTCAGTCACACAGGAGAGCAGATGACCCAAAGACTACAGCCCTCCCAATGTTCATTAGTAGACTGACTGCAGCCCATACTTATTTCTCATTTCTGAAACTCACATTAAGTTTAAGACATCAATAGCACTGATGAACTTGTATGCAGATTAAGATCAAGTGCTACTCTACTATGGTGAGTATTAGAGAAGGTAGATACAATTCACAAACTCAACCTTTACAACAGTATTCTAAGACTGAAATGGGAAAAGGCTGGAAGAATGAACCCCTATACCAGCAGAACAAAACTACTCCTTTCAGATGTGGCAGAGATCTGCGACAGGCTTGTTTTACTGAGGAAGGCAAACAAGCGTGAAAACACTGCTCAACTGAGAAATTAAAGAGTATTTGGGCTCTAGAAGAGACTGCCGTGCTCCTAGAAAGTAAAACCTCATTAAAAGCTGCAAGCATTTAGAGATAATTTTACTTCCATTTTTTAATTTTCACTTTAACCTTGCCAAAGGTTGTAGAAAATGGGAGTGTAACCAGTATTCTCAACAAAGAACAGTCTTACTGCTAATGGAACCCGTCCAGAAAAGTTTGAGGAAAAATCCCTGTCTGCTTATGTTCTCAGACCTTTCTAGACTGAACTGTTCAGGTTCTGAAATGCTAGTTTCAGAATCAAGAATAACAAAATACACACTACCTTGAAATGACAAACTCTACTTCCTTGCAACCCGTTTGGAAATCCTTACGTTATTACGTTTTCCCACGCTCCAGTATCCATCCATTCAGCACCAGGAACTGTACTCAGTGACTTAGGCTCTCAATTATGAAACGCCAAGCCAAGATGCGGAGAGCTGTGCCAATCTCTCCAGACGCCCATTCCTTCACGAAGGAAACTCTTACAGTTGAGTTCTACAGCACAGCACTCACACACTGGGAACATGAACTTACTGTACTGCCAGTATTGTTTTGGTAGCTCTGCAGTTCAGATGCAGCCCTTTGGGCTTTCTCACTGCTAACACAAACGCCACTTCTGTGGGAACCACAAATTGGTGGTTTGTGTTCACAACCTTCTGCTTTTGCTTGTATTTTTACAGAAGTTAGTTTTATGGGCTAAGATGATCCCTGGTCTTTAGAATGGAACAAATATATAAAAAATTTAGGCTCTCATTTGTCAGGCAATGCCTACGCACAACCTCTTTTTTTTCCTGCTATACAGTTTGTGAACTGATTTATCAAGTAAGGCTGTTTCCATATATCTGTCCTGAGTCACACTGCTTTCAGTTCTTTACATCTTTGTACACTCTTTGTTAGAAATTCAGCTAAACAGAAAATTGTCTAAAAAGATACTGAAAAACAGCAAAGAGGTTAAGACTAAAACAGGAACTTATGGAAATAAAGAATAGATGCTACATTCAAATTTAGAATACAGAAAGTGATTTCTGCCCTCAGAAAAAAAAGTTAGTTTTCCAGCACAGTACATGGTGTAAGAAATATACACACATACATATACAAATATATATACACACATACATTTAGTAGTTCCATGTACCAGGTACAATATTAGAAGTAATTTAAAAAAAAAAAGTATGACTAAGAATCTGCTTTTGTTCAGAAGGGTGGAACTAGCTGACCTTTAAGAACCCTTCCAACCCAATCTGTTGTAGGATTCCTCGAAAGTGACGCTGCAGTAACACATGCACGTGGGTTACAGTAGCTCTTCCAGTACCAAAGAAAGTGAATTTAGGTACGACTCACAGCATATGAAGTGAGAAGAAACATTTGGAATTAATACATACAGCATCAGGTGCTGAGGAATATGATGCACATGTGAAACAATTTAAAAAGCACAGTCTGGTCCTGTGTAGGTGGTGTAAGACTGCAAATCTCTTATTCAAAAGACATATTCAATGAAATCTGCAGCAGTTATTTCCACTACAGCCTAAAATTCCTGGCTAGCAGTCAAAGGAACTTTTTAAAAAAATAAAGTTACTTTTTTAAAGTCTCAAAGACGACGACTGCCCTTCTAGCTTCAATCTGAACTTCTACTAGCACTTTTCATTTTAGTTCCGAGCAACTGAATACCAAGCTTACAAGCATTCAGTTGTGGAGGTTACACAGATCACAATCCTTTGTTTAAAAATGAATGTCACTACAGAGACAAAAGCTCCTTTTATAAAGTGGTATGTGCTCCATCGCTTGTTACGCACGGTGAGCGAGAACTATTGCCTCTGTTTAGTCTCATTTGTATACCATACTAGATGGTTCCTTTCTGTAGCTACCAGTCTGTGCATGTTCCTCTTCTCAAGAAAGCTGTGACTATGTTAGCCAATCCAATCAGCATCAGTTCTAAACGCAGTCATGTTTGGAAGTGCCCTGATAATTAATTAAAGTGGAATGGAATTTACTCATTTAGGCAGGGATAAGCCTTTAGATGATATATAGAATAAGCCCAAACTTAAGTAGCTGTTAACATAGCTGAGGTCTCCTTATTCGAAGCACTTCCTTGAAATGGTCTGACTAATTTCAAATTGCAGAAACATGCATAGCCTCAGTTTGGAAGTTAAAACAGATGACATTTTTGGTCAACTGTTGGAAAACAGAAGAATCTTCAAGGAACTCCAAAGCAGAATATTGAATATTACAAGATTCTACAAGAAAAATCTGTAAGTGGATCAAAATTGTATTGCCAACTTTAGCAACTTCATAATGGACTTAAAATACATAGAGAATTCCCAAATTGTAAGCCTAAATTCAATCCTTTGGACTCGAAATGTGAGTAACTTTTCAGCTTTTTCCCTTAGTTAAAAAATTAACGTGGATGTTATAGTTTATTTGTAACTCAAGTGCTCTGTTTGCAGGTCAGCTGCAATTCACTTCAGCTAAGGCATCCCATTGTAAAATAAAAACGCAAACATTTCACCTTCTTTCAATCTTCCACACAAAACAAGCTGCTAGATTCACAGCCACATTCAGTTTGCTTTCTCCTGTACCAGCTACAGACAACACATCACAATGACATTTTAATTTAAACACCACGGAGCAGAGAATGTGAATTTCCCTTCACTTACCTTTATTTGCTTGTAACCTTACATTTTGAAACTTTTATCACTGTTATCAAACACCTCATTTTTCAAACATAAGCATGCTAAGTGTATTAGTACATAGAACAGAATTACTTCGGTGCTACCAACTCTATCAAAGAAAGAAGAATTCACAAGGCATGCTTAGCATCTTGTTATTCAGGTGCTGCAGACTCTTAGATATCATCATGAGTTAATGCACTGATTTATGCTTTCCTCTCAAGAAAGACAGTATTTAGTTCTGAGCAGAAAGTTTAGTTTTCAGAAAACCAAGGCTAGAAAGCCAAATCTGTTGTTAATTGCAGGAGCCACTTTTTTAAATATAAATAAATCCTACCTTTTGATAAACCTGAATGACATGTTTCTAAAAGAAATTAAGCCAAAATAATAATTAACAAAGTTTTGTACAAAGTAAATTGAAAAATCCATTTAGAGTGAAACATGCAACAGACCTCATTTAAATGCACAATGAAATTACACTTCAATACATTCTGAGATTAGGCACATGACTTAAGGTCTGAAAAACTTTTTTGTTTTCTTTTAAAGGATTAATATTTCCAAAGTTACTTGTTTCTTGGGAAATACACTGCCAGCAGTTACTATGAGTTATTATAGCAGTTATGAGCATATACACTAGTTTCAAAACACTTGAAAACCAAAAAATATGCAAGGTCACACAAAAAGATGTTTCTATTTAAAAGGAGTTTAAATAGAAAACAAAAACTGCAACTCCAACTATTAGACGACCTTGAGAGTACCTTCAGAGCTAGGTTTCCTCCTTCCTTCCTAACACTGTCACCCATATTGTGCTAAAAACTGCCTCAAATATTTGGCTAACTTAGTGACAAAATCTGTAGCTAGTGCCTAGACCAGGACACAAGCAGTTAATTATCAAAAGGATTCTGATCTCCTACAGAGGAAACAAGAATGAAAAAGCACACTTCAATTGTATTTATTTCTATTTAAAGAGAAGAAATTTAACTGTGTTCTTTGATGGTACTGTCTACTTCCTAGTAGTTTGTACCTAGCATAACAGAGCACCAACTGCAAGGGGTCCTCCAAGTGCACATGTAATCATCTGTAGCAGGGCTATTGTGTTAAAAATGCTTGTTATTTAATCAAGTCCAAATGGAATTCCAACTATTGTGTAAAGCACTTGGGGAAAAACTTCTTAAAGCAAACTGCACTGCGAAAGTTGAAAATGGGGGTAATGATAGAAGTTGGACTGCTGTCTGAACAAGTGAGCGTCACACGGAATGAAAAATAGTATGTTCCAGCAGCACGAGAAGAAGCTTTACATGTTCACAGCTTGAGTGTCCACATTTGGAATGTCAGAATGGAAAATTTAGAGTATAACAAACAAAAGTACATAATGATGTGCCAAAAAGATGTGTCTGATTTAAAACCTCACTTGACAAAAAGCAGAAGATTTTATATTAAAGAAATAAAAATGAAGTTCATTTTTAATTTCTAACGAGAAAAAGAAAGGAACTTCCCACAGCACACAGTCTCCCAGAGAAGCATTAGCTGAGAGTGCTGGGCAGGATAAAACATTTACCAAAAGGCAAGGCTGTTCCACAATTTTCCAAATTTTTCCACTTTTTTTTTTAAAGGAAATTAATTCCTCAAATTGTAATCAGCCAGCTGTGAAAAACTGGAGTTTGGCTGAACATTATTTTGTATGGAAAATTATGAAGAAGTTACTGGGGAGTGGACATGTACAGTCCCAGAACAGGAAGGAAATAGTTCAATGCCATTGCCATAGGCCTAAAATAAAAGCAAGTGTGCCAAGATTAGAATGATGTATTCTACAAAATTTCATGAGATGAGGGGGGTACAGAAGCATTGAGATTATCTTAAAACAAAAGTAAAGAAATTCTCACTTCTGCAAACACAAGTTGTGTGGTACCTGAGTGGTCTGAAGTAAGTAATATATGAATTCATAGGTTTTAAATGCTTAAGGAAAATACACAATATTTTCTCCCCTTCTACTCCAGTTGTAGCATGTGTGGGAGCTAATTTCATTCCTACACGTGTTTGGAACTAGGAGTCCAATTAGAACAAAAACAGTCAGTACAGGAACAAGCACCTGCTTAAGCCAGGCTCTGGCTACAGCAGCACATCTTCACACCAGCACCAGAATCTGCATGAGCTAAGTGCTGAAACAGGATTAAATCTTTCAGGCCTACCAGACTACTAGACAGAAACTGCAGTATGCCATTACTTTAGGATGACCTGTGCTAGCACAGGTCAAAATAGCTGCCAAAAATCAATTGTTCGCTTCTGCCTCTACCCTTTCACCTGTGATATTTCTACCTGTGTGGAAACAGCCAAAGTGAGAAAGACCCTGAGCTCTTAACACTGCATTAAGTATCAGGACTGATATTCTAGTTTATGCCTTCTATTGAGAGATCATGCACAGTGAGCAGCTTTTGAACTGAGCTGCAACATTTCAGCTTTGCAGCACTGGTGCCGCAGACACGAAAACAGTGAGCCCAGAATAATCAGCATAGATTGAGCTGCGTCAGTTTTTATTCCCAGTTGATTCAATTGCTAAAAACAAATGGCTTTCTGCACTGAAAAGAACTATGAAAAAATAAACCATCACCAGATGCATTTTAAGTTGCAGACGTAGTTAAATTATTGACCAGCAACTGCAGACAAAGCCTCCTACACAATGAACTACTACATGTTTCTATTCTCTGACAGTAGGAAAGCGTTCCCGCATAGCATTGCCATTTTAAAAGACGTACCTTCTTGTGAGTTTTGAAGTCAGTTTGCTGAACAGGTTAGTGGAACCCCTGGTTCGAGTCTGAGAGAGCGGCGTTGCCTCGTGGGACAGGCTGGGGGAGGCCGGGGGCCCGTTGTAGGTAGCGGTACGTCGCTCACGGAGCTGGCCGTGGAAGGTGCTCCGACTGGCCGTTCCTCTGGGGAAACGAATACGGTCAGGTGTGGTTGCACTGCTTATGCTGTGAGTTGAAGCGACAGGCGTTCTTTGATCGGGAATAGTGCTAGAGCAGAAAACAAAAAAGACCACGCTAGGACTTCTTTACGGAAGCATGACGGTTTTTGCAGGAAACACAAAACACTACGTTCTATGGTAAAGCATAAGCAGACACTTCTATACAGGCCAGGGTTGGAAATATCAGCACTATTACAGCACTGTATGGAATCAAAATTCATAAGTTAGGATTAAAAGGCTGCTGAAACAGAAACCTACGTAGGCAGAAAAACGCAACACAGGTATCCTGGAGAAGACCAGATAAACTAGGCATTCAGTGTTTCACTGAGAAGACTGATAAAAGAATAGATGAGTAAAGTTTCCTTCCAGGAAAAAGAAGCAATAGATAACTTCAGTATCGCTCCCTTCATATTCTGTACATCTTCAAAAAACTCGCTTATTTGAAAATGTCCTACAGGAAATTCTCTACAAGCGAACGGCTCCAGGAAGTGAAGTCCTTCTGAGTACAGATTACAGTCTCCCACAAACTTTGACAATAGGGAATGTCCAATATGCCTAACACTAAAATAATTAGCATTTATTACTGCAGGATTATGTCACAGACAGCCTGACACACCACAAGACAAATGTAAACAAGACTAAAAATAAGGAAACACACATCTTGTGGGCAATATATACTAGAACACTCTAGGACTAAAATTCCACAGCACAAAGTTAAGAAGCAGTGGGTATAAGTTAGTTTCACAATGATTTCAGGTTCTTACATAGGCCTGAAGTTATCTGCGCCATTGTCTATTGGAGGCAACATCATCTTCGTGTGCACAGAGGCTGACATGGACATCGACTTCTGATGTCGCAGCCGAACACTGGAGAAGGATGTAGTACAAACTGAAGCAGGGCTAGCTGCGTAAGCGAACATTTCTGTCAGGCTGTGAGGGGGTTTGGGTTCAGGCAGAGGCAGAAAGAAGAGCATGATGGACCAACAACAAACTACTGCATAGAAAAAAGCAAACTTTTCCTTCTGTTAACCAATCTGTGAGAAGAACATGAACTCTAATGGCCCTCTTCTACGTAAACAACAGTAACTGTCCTATATTCCTCTTAAATCACATCCTTATTATACAGAGCACTTGACATCTCTATTAGCAATAGTTCTTACCAGCAGCATTAGGTAGTGGTGACACCCTCCCACACTGCAGTGAAATACCCGTTTCCAGAAATTATCCACCTTTACAGAAATCAGTGCAAGTTGGACACACATTCAAATCTTGACCTACACCTAATAACCAAGGAAACTTCATGGCAAAAGAGAAACAGTATCATGACATTTAGCAAGTCCATGGAGGTCCAAACAAAAAAGCTACTGTTCATCAGCTGGTACATACAGGAAGAAAAGAGTAATGCTTAGTGTTCTCTGAAAGAAAAGGTGAGACTACTAGAGAAATGGCCTGGCCATGAGCCTCGAGTTCTTCAAGTAACCATTATAGGATTTGAAGGAGGCTACAGTGCTGGCCAGTCATCTATCAGCCATACACTATGTTGAAATATAAAGATTTAATCTTTTGGGCTGAAACATTTTTCTCAGCCTTTGTATTATCTAGTAATGACAGGAATAGGAGAGGCACATTATATATTGGACCTTCAGGGCTACAGCACCATAGATCATATAGTTTACATTTGCTTTTGCAGTACGTCAATTGTAATTCCAAAATTATGTTGGAGGTTAAGAAATCAGTAATTGTCAGTGACAGTTTCATGACACTGCATGCTCGTTTCCAAGTGACTTCGCTGCTTTATATACTGAAATTCATGTCCTGTTATCTCATTCTGGTATGTCTGGCTTTGGAGAAGATAACGTTAAATTGAGCTACAAGTATGAGATAAGCCATTTCTTGGACTTAGATCTCAAAGCACTACTGGAAAATACCACAGAATTCAGACATCAGAACTCACTAAAACAGCAAAATTTACTGTTTTGTTGAGTCTGGAAAAGTTAAAACACGTGAGGAATTTCATCTGAGTCATGCATGCATCTCTTCACACTGCTGAATCTTCTAAGATGCCAACTACAGTCTGCTAAAACCAGCCTTGCAGAACAGTACAGCTTTTACATTACACCAGAATATTAAGAAATTCTGAGGAAATGAGTATTCATCCCAAAACAATACACAAAACTGAAGTAATCCCCAAACGTGGTCACTAAGCACTCGAGCATTGCACCATTCTAGCTACTTTCCTCCTAGTCTGTTGTAAACGATAAAGGAGAAACAATCTTTGCAACATGAGACTCAAGTTTTATTTAGCCTCATAGTTTTAGTCATCTGCCTCCAAATAAGTGGTAACTAAAGGTATCAATAAGGTACCAGAGCACAAACTAAATCATGAGAATTCTTCATCTGAAGCTATGTTGGAAATCAGCTTCCCTGGATTACCAGCCTGGGAACGTAGAAACAGCAAGCTAAAATTCATCAATTAGTGCCAAGGCTTATTAAAATCTGAGGCTGTTGTAAAAGCAATTGCCTATCATTATGAAGAGTGTTTCACGAGTCCCCAAGTGCATTAATTAATGCTTAGGGCTTTGGAGCAGAGCCAGAGTCATCTCCATCAGAATGCCTGTGTCAGCCACACAGTGTGTGGAAGTAGGGATGTGAGATTTGAAAACTCTTTTCTATCAATCTGGCTTGAGGTCTTCAAGACTGCTTTCTTGAACATGAAATCCACTGACTATTGATTCTTGAAAGCTACCATGCTTTCAAAGCAGTGCCTCCTAAGGATTCAACACGTAAGATAAAAACAGAACAGCTAACACTATTATTTTCACTACCGAAAGAACAGAGAATTTAAATCTGTGCATCTTGCATTTTAAAGCAAGTCTCCAAAGTCTTCACCAGGTCACAGTCAATATCTGCCTGGCTATAAAAAATCCAAAATCCAATCTGAAACAAATCATTTAAAGTAACCACTCTTGCCTTTACTCCACAAACAGACATTTCAAAAGCAAAGAAATAATTGTTTTCTTTTTGTTGTTGGTGGTGGTTTTTTTTTGTCAATAAAATCACGGATTTTGACAAAGCTTAGGTTCTATTTCAGATATTACTTCAGAGGGAAAAAAAACATTACAAGTTTCTAAAGTTACTTTTTGCCAAGCTGATACAACAATGATATTAGAGATATAATAAAAACACACCTGAAGAAAGGCAGAATTCATTCTGAAGAGCCATGCTTGTTTAACCTGCATTAAAGGTCTGCATTTCATGCCATCATCCAAGCCTTTGCCCAATTAAAGCAACACAATGTCAGACTTAGTTCTGTAGATCTCCACAAAAACTCAGAAACTGTGTCAAAATTAACGTGCACTTTAACACCAAACATTTCAGACAATGAGACATCTCTGGTTCTAAAACAATTAGCAGTTCACTCTCATTGTCTTATCTTGTTTAACCCTATATAAAGAGTCAAGGAGGTAGTAAGCAAAAAATACATGATAAAACCTGTAATGACCTTTTTCCCAACAGTCAAAACATAAATGCTCAGACACACCAAGTGATCCAAACAGAGGTAAAGTTTGCAGGAGAAGCAAATGATGTTTTTAAACCATATACTGTATTGACAGTAAAAGGTAAGTTACATAAGGATGACCAAGTATGGAAAGAAAACAGAATTAAAAGAGATGTCAAATATACAATGTCAACTCTGAACTTAAAACCATTACGTAACAAATTAGAAAGACAATTTGCTGAGAAAGTCAAAGCTAGAGAAAAAAAAGCATCTCCAATAGACAACTCCTTAACATAAAGTCACTTTTATATTAAGAGGATACCTGAATTTCAAGTATTCCTGGTAAATAACAACTCATAAGAATCATAAAGAATTTTTTGACAAAATATTATAAAGATATCAGTTTAAAGATTAATAAAAGTGTTATTAACAAACCAAGAAATCAAGTAATCAAAACTAATCAAAGCTATCCTGGACAGCAAGAATTCATTTTCTAAGTGAGTTAGGAAAGAAAAAAAACATTTCAAATGAAATGAAGGATGGTGAACTTTAATAAACTAACTTGGTAATGTTAACAAGGACTAACAGATGAGACAGACACACTAAGAGACAGTACCAAATAGCTGGGCTGTACTTCACAAGACAGTTGACCGTAGGCCCAGCTGGCCAGCTAGAGTTTTGGCTCTCTTGAAACTTACACTTGACTTTTTCCTTACTCACTTTCAGTTTGCAGAAAGCTAGGAGGAAGAGACAGGGTCCAAGTCATGTTCTTTACCCTAGGCTACATGGGTCAAACACGAGACGGACAGATTTTGCATTCGACATCACAACTTCACCACTCTTCCTAATATGCTTTCAAAAGGAAAGGGAGAAATTCTGTGCAAAAATTGCAAATCCTTCACCAACTTTAACATGAGCTAAAAGAAAAAAAACCCTGTTTTCTCCCTATATTTTATAATGTATCCTAAAACTGGAAAGAGGGAAAAAACTGGTAAGAGTAAGGGAAAAGTTATACGCTCCTCCAAGCTTAAGCATTTTTGTTGATTACTAGCAATCTCAGTGTTCTCCGGGCAACAATCAACTACCAAATTGTTACCACCTTTCAAGACTACCAAAATTCTGTGAAGAACAGTTGGCTAGAACTTAAAACACTTCTGCCAGCCAGGAAATTTAGTAGTATTCTTCACAAGTGTTACTGTGCAGTTTATGTTCACAGATACTTATTTTCTGCAACTCTCTACAGTCATCGGTTCACAGGAAAGGACAGCAGGAGATGTGGCTGTGGTGCTAAAACGTGAGTTAGGTGACTCCAATTCCATTGCATATTCCAGTTAGGCTTCCTGTAAAGTAATGGTAAGCCTGTTTTCACTCAGAGTATGGAGATGTCTGTGCTTCCCTTTTTGAAGATGAATTCTGTAAATACTGGGAAGCAATGACACTACAAGGATATCAGTACTGAACATTATCAGTCCAAGACAATGGCCTGCCACTGTTTTCATCTTTGCTTAGAGAAAATTGATTATCTCCCTAAAAATTTACAGAGGAAGAAGATACTCCAAACAATCACACCTGTAAGTATAGTTTAGAATGAAATATAAAAACAGAATGGTTCAAGAGATATACTTCTATAGTTTGCAAGTAAATAAGCCTCTTCTGCAAGCTGATGCTATTTAACTACAGGAGTTGACCACCAATTCATGAAGAAAGCTGCACAAATATGAAACATATTTAACTGGACATTGCAATCATTCTGTGTATAAAGACAATAAGTATTAAGCATAAGGAAAAACAAACACACAGGTATTCCACAACCAAAGATCTGTACTCACCTTTCTTTATGAATTACACTACAGTATTACTGATTTTTAGATTAGGCATTACAATTTTGGGGGGAAGTGTGAAGACAAAGGACGTACACCATAGGAAGACATTTCATATACCTGTTCTCCTTGCCATTTTGTATCACTGAATGCCTATCAGCAGTGGTTCTTTCACTACAAACATATGTGTTGCGCCGTGTCATTGCTCCAGGGGCAGTATTATTCTACAATTAAAAAAAACACAGGCTTGTTACTCCCCACAAAAAGACTTTTCTGGGATTAAGGCTACGTATACTTGAAGGCTGTTTTATGTAATTCTACTTCTACACAGTTATAACACAATAATTCAGTAAGTTGACTAGTTAATACACAAACATATCCAAGTATTTTTAAAGAATAATGCAATTTAAAAAAACATTTCTTGTATTTCATGTTTATGTCTCAAAATTAATATACCATTTAAATTACCAGTGTTCTGAAATCCAAATTTTCAGCATGTGTATAATTCATCTACTAGAAGAGAGTACTACATTATAGCCTATTTTTGAGGTACTTTACCACTTGTATAATGTACAATTTCCCTTCAAGTTAAAAATCATATCCTTAGGCAAGATTGGAAAAGCAAAGATTTAAGAAACAGGCATGGAAAAATTCAGTGGGAAGGTAAACATGGACTTTCAAATATTCAAATACTATAGAACACTAGACAAGTTTTGAAAAACAGGGAAGAGCAAGTCAAATTAAAGAGACAAATCATAGAGAATTTTAGTAAGACATTTTTAAAAATACACATATAAATACAAGCATAATACATTGAGGACAAGAAAACCAGGGGAACTTAAGCTACAGACCTTATTTTAGAGGGGAGAAAAGAAATAGAATTACTTTGCCTCTGTCTTTACAGAGAAAGAGGGTGGAGATATGCCCAAGTTGGCGGTCAATTTTCCAGGAACGACTGAGAAGCTAGGTAATTCACAGATAACAGAATTATAAAATGTTAGATGCAATTACTTTAGGAAAAGCATGGTGGTCCAGATAACATGCACCCCAGGTTGTAGAGGAAGTACAAGCTGGCAAGCCTTATAGTATTTCCCCACCCCAAGAACAGAACATAACACAAACTGCATACGATTGGAAAATAGAAAAAAACCTTTTAAAATTTTTCTTTAAAGAAAAGGATCACGGGGTAAAGCAGGAAGCAAAATACACTAATAACTTTAAATATCACTGCTGGGGAATATCTTGGAGGCTAGCTTAAGGGAATGACTAGTCAGCACCTGGATAAGCACATGTTGAGTAAGGATGGCCACCAAGAGTCAGGCAGGGGACTTCATGCTTAACTAACCTTTTGGAGTTCTTGAAGAATTACAGCTATGATAGGCAAGGGAAATTCAGCGGACTTTTAAAATAGCATTAAGAAAACATGTCATGAACTGGTCACAGTAGAGCATCATGGGAAGAATGGTGAAAAAAGAAACTAAGGAAAAGACAGTTCGAGCACAAAAGGAGTGCAGCCAAACCTTTTTTGTTTCCAGACCTGAAATAAAACTGTTAAGTAAAATACTCTCAACAAGCAAATACTTCTCCAGTGCCTTCTACACAAACAGCTTTTCCTGCTTTAAGCAAAAAATACTGGCTCATACATGGAGTGAGTCTCAAACAGCACAATTCCATTGTTAAATCTGCAACTCAGAAGTCATCTTGTCAACTTAAAAGGCAAGTGACTCGTTAGACATCTGTGTGAATGTACAAACAAAAACGTAGGATTGAACCACGCCATCACCTGGCATGAAAACGTACTAAGATGACAAAGATTATTTCAGATGAGCAGAAGGAACTAGTAAAAGTCATCATACATGTTTAGTTGTGTCCTGGGTCTTGAAGTGTTCTTCACCAGGTAGGTATTCCTTAGGCATAGGCACATGCCAATCATCAGAAGTCCTCCTCCTATTGCTGGTGCTTTCCTTTTATGTTATTCCTTATGTGTCCCTCATCCATTAATTTTATTATTATTTTCTTTTTCGTAAAATATTGATTCTTAAACTTTGTACAGTCACAGATGTGGGAAGAAACTCCTCCCTTCTTCGTTAAACTAGCCAGCAATGAAGGCTGTGCACCTACCATGAATTTCCATTCATACGTTCACAAGGAAATGGAGTGCAAGTCACTTTGTGTGGCCCCCGCCAAGCTATGGTACATTCAATTATTGCACATTATTTGCATATTGGTTTTTTTGCATTCCTGAAGATATTAAAGAAAGCACCTAGAATAGCTTATGTTTTCTGGTGGGAATTGTGCACAATAATGGATAGCTTCCTTCCATCTACCTTCTGCCTTAGAACATTAAATGCTTGATTCCCTTGAGAAGACATCACCATACATTTTAATGTTACATGACGTTGTATGTGTGGAAAGTCACAGAAGTCATCTGTACTGGATCAAACCTTAAAGAAATGCATTTTGAAGTTTCTGAGTGGGCATTTTAAGTTTTGGTTTTCATAACTGAAATTACAGAGATCTAAAAAAGCACTCAGATTACAAAGGTCCTGATAGAATACCAGAACATTTTAAGCTTCCACATTTCAGTTTCAGCAAGAATGCAGGTATGGGTGCCATTATCCTTTCTGGTGTACAGCTTTTAATGATTTGGGAGTTCTTCAGCTATGATTTTTTTGTTCAATTAGGCTGTATATTGCTGTTCTCTGTACACAACTAAATTGCACAGCTGCATGGTACAGGACATCTGAAATTAGTATCCACAGCATCACACTGATGGACTGATGAGACAGAATTGAGCTAAGTTCATCCTGACAGCATTGGGTGTCTTTTTTTCAGGTGATGCAAAGTGCATTTTGAGACTTCTGAGCATATACACAAGGTCCCACACACAGTAAAAAGGATGCATTTGTGGTACAGTCGTCCTCTTTTCGCATGGCAAGTTTTGTGCCCACTGTTTAGATGGGTAATTTTCACATTAGGAGACAGCAAGGCGAGGACTGATGAAAAATCTTCCAAGAATCAGCTTCTGACTAACAACAATGAACCAACCTATTTACCAATCTGTTTTGGCGGTGGGGTTTTTGTAAATTTTTTTATTTTTATTTTTTGGTTCTAAATAATTTTCCAAACATGCCATCCATTCTCTCTTTTCACTTTTCTAAAAGCTATACCAAGGGTTCTGGGGCAGCTTTATGAGGAAAAACCCAAAGCTGTGAGTAATAAACAAGGAATTATTAGCTGCTGCTAACTATGCATCCTCTGTGGCAGGTCTTTGTTATTAATTTGGTATTTCCCTAATGAGCCTGAAGCTTACTGATGCACACTCCCTCAGTTTGCAGAACTATTTAGTCTGCAAGAGTTCTATGCTTTTTCAACTTCAGAAGAAGAGCCTGGAGTCCTAACTTCAACACCAGACTTGGTTACCTTCTGTAAGAGAGTAACTCTTTTCCTTAAGTGCATACTTGTAAATTTCGTTATTAAATGAGAAGCACACAACTGCCTACAGATCTTAACAATTCAAAACAGAACATGAGTCTCCAGTGAAGACCAGTTCTACTACTTCTGCTGTATCTGTGAAAGCAGTAATTATTTTTAAAGACAGTATTTTTCTGTCTGTTCAGTAATTTTCTCATCACATTACTGATTTTAGGACTTAAATGTTCAGCAAGAACATAAACTCTTTCCACACCTCAGATTTCTTTTCTTTTTCCTACTTCAAGACAATACGGTAGCTCTAAAATCCTTTCCACTCATCTCCCCCCCTTCTTTTAGACACTTGTCAATGCTACAAGAAATAATCAGTTCCTGGAACTGTGAAAAAGGAGTTAGTGCTCCTCTCTATCCTCAGCAGCCAGAAAGCAAAAGACTGAGCTATAGCAGGAAAATAAAATAAAAATAAAATTTTGCACAGTATGACATAAAGCGCTATAAGTACAGGGACAATTTTAAACACTGATTGACATCACAAGTCAGGTTACATGTTCATTTTGTAGCACTGCTCATAAAAGATCAGAGTTACACACTAAATCCCAAGAGGTAACATCCTACTGCTGTGAGCTCATTTTGCTGCCATTGCAGTAGAATGAAACTGGAAATTTGGGAGTGGTGAAGCAGAGTAGATAAAATACTGAAGATGCCAATTGAAAAACGTAAATAATAAAATATATACATTGAATATCACAGAGCTCAGGAAATGTTACATGAAAAGAGATTTTCAATTTTGCCTCTTATAGACTATACAAGTTAAAACTAAAGTCAACAAAGAATTTTCCAAAACTTTTTTTCTTTTTTACTGTCTACTGCTTGACCCATAAATTCATGCATCTTTGGTTTTCTTGCTATTTTAGGGGATGGAAGAAAGCCCACATTGACAAAGGCTTTTAAGCACATATTGAAATTGACCTCTGAACACTTTTTTAGAGCTGCCTCTATCTGAAAATCCCACTGCTCCTAACTATGACTTGGAACAGCCTGTTGGGCATTGAAGATGATCTGGCTCTTTCAGCATACAAAACTATAAAATACAGAAGTACAAACTGATGTCATTCTTCTGTACAAAAGGCCACAGAAAAATAGGTGGGGATATTGGAAGTAATATATTTCATACTAAGTTTCAGGAGATGGCCTTCAATTTATTTTCTTCCCTTTTCACTAACAGCTATTAGTGCAAATTACTAATACCTGCTAACTACTTCAGGAACAAATAACTGAACAGCTGATGGATGCAAGGAAGAAAAAGCCACGATATGAGATACTTTTTATATAGAGTAAATTTAGGTAAAATCAACATCACTGATAAATTGCTAGATTAGTACTCTCTCTCCAAAACATTTTGTGGTTTTGGTAAATAAGTGCTTCTACTTACACTAGGGACAGCCGAACTTTTCTTACGTTCAGGAATATCAGCCTTATTTGGATTGCTGGCATTTCCAAGCATTGGACTAGCTGGTGCAATTCCTCTTCCTGCAACAGCACTACTGCTAGATTTTCTTGATTGAATTCCTTCCTCTTTTAGGTCACTGTCTGTAGTACTAGTTTGGCTTCTTTTGGGATATGCCACTACTGGGGGGATGGATGGTCCAGCTTAAAAAGCAAACAAATGAAACAGAAAAATGATTTTTCTTTTCTGAGGTACAGTTGCTATTTTTCCCTACAACAGAAATGCATTCACATTCATGAAAATTGAAATAATGAACACTGAGAATCAGAGATGCAAAAAGGTCATTCTTGAATTATTAAATTATGCATACTTTAGAAGACAATAAAATATTTAGAGAGCAATAAACTCTTACTTTTTAAACACCCGTGTCTTCATATTTGCTTTTTCCTCTTTGGAAGAGAATACGAAGAAAGCTTCACCCTCCCACACCCCCCCTTTTTTTTTTTTTTTTAATAAATCTAGCAAATTTGACACTCAATCACCTCTAGTAAGGTCATCCCTTGTATAACAATTCAAAGATACATAACACTCTTCATTTCAGCTCACTAAAGACAGGGAAGGTCATAACAAACAATCATTTGAATTTAATAGATGAAGTTAGTACTTGATTTCAATGTAAGAATTAAGAACCTAATCGAGTCTTGGGGTTTAAGTACTGACAATGGTTTAACTTGGAAGGAAAAAAAAACCACGCCCTAAAGAGTCATCTAAGGCCACTGAACAATTAACTGACTTATTCAGATCAGAGGAGTCACTAGCATAACCCCAACATACACTGTGCAAGCTAGTGTCTGATAAAAATGGATTTTTGAGACACATACCTGGAGACATAACCCCATGCTGCCAGCAGTACTAACGCCTGCAGGCTATGTTCAGCCTGAAGAGCCAAGAAACTGCCCTCAGTTTGCCACTAACCTCCCAAGTATGCCAGAAGTAACTGGGAAGTACAGAAAACTGTGCTGGCACACCTGAGATTCTGTCTGACTCACTGGTCATTAGAAATTTATTTTTTACAGCACGATCAAGTGATGCCATCCTCAGGAAACAAGAAATATTGGCAAACTGATGTTTCTACAAGTTTTAGATACAAGCTGACCTACTAGTGTCAAAAGAAGACAAAAGCTGAATAGACATACAACCACGTGGGGGAGGAATGCTGTACTCTTCATTAAAAAGAGGGCTTCCTCTAGAAGCTGTTATGGAAGGCTTTATAGCAAAAAAAAAAAAAAAAGATTATAAAAATGTTAGTTATTCAGTAAACTATTTTATCACTGTACAATGAACTACATTTCATTGTCAGGTCATTGTCATGACTACAGGTCATTGTCCTCTATCTTTGGGGGATGGAGACAAATTCAGAAACTGAACAACTAGCAGTCATTATATGCCACAGCACTGCAAATGAGAACTGCTCACCATGATCGCTGTAGCGCCGCTGTTTCTGGCTTGAAGATATGCTTCTCTGAACTTTGTGATGGGGAGATTGTCCAGTGCTATTATTAAGATCACTACTTGGCCGAACTTTAGCAAGTGAAAGATTGCTGCTGGAGCTTGAATCACTCGCATCCAACTGCAACATAAATGAAAATGTTAAAACAACAGGTGCAGACAAAACCAACGTCTACCAAGATGCCTCTAGCTTGCAAGAAATTTTGTGACAGCAAGAACCTGCTTAGAGGTTCAGGCACCAATTCTTAACTACTATTAAGTTCTAGTACAACTGCCTTAGGTAAATCTCAGCAGAATTTGAAGCCTCTGAAAGGACAAATGAAAATTCATCTCTATACTTCCAACATTCTCCCTCCCCTCAGTTCCGTAAGATTTGAACAAGATTTGAACTTTTTCAGAAGAAGCCACCAGACTAACTCCTCCAGCAGAGGAACTGAGAGCAGTTCACTGATGCCTTGCTCACTTGGTATCATATGGGAAAGTACTCTGCAATGTGAGAACATTTTTAGATTAACAGGTCCTATTCCTCAATTCTCTTAAAATATTTACAGCAAGCACATTTGTACTTGAGCTCTTAGACGGGGCAGAATAATAACTAGCATACAGTCCTTAAGAGGAGTAACTGCTGATCAAGCAGGATAGTTCTTAGTATTTTGTAGAGACTAGTTTACCAAATCAGACCATGTTGAGATCACATACAGCATCATTCAGACAGTTCAGTTGACACTGATGATTAGAAAAAACTGATTTAAAGTGTACTAGACTAGCATGCAGGAATGCAGTGCCTATACTTACTGATTTAATTTTTGCTTCTGATTTTTCTAATGACACTGATACATTTGGTTCTTTGCATTTGGAAGAGCGATCCTTACCTCTGATGATTTCCTTCCCAGCAGCAAGTACGTAGCTGTGATTTCATCATACTTCATTTTACTAAGGGATTCCTGAATTTCTTCTTGAGAATATCCCATTCCCACCATAATATCTAAAAACAAATACATGCTGTCAGCAACAAACACTTTGATGTTCACACTGCTTGAATGTTCAACTTGAGAAAGAAGAGAAAGAAGGAAATATTTAAAGAATGAAACAAAACAGTTAACTATGAGAACAAAAAAGCCTAATAAGATATCAAATTAAAAGATTAGTTACTTCACCCCAAATGGGAAAGAAATACAGTGTGGTGTAGAAAAAATACATCGTAAGAAATAGTAACATATTCTGAAAAATACTCAATTACCTATTCTTTTCTGGTCCGAGATGTCTAGTTCTGGTTCAACAAAAGGTTTAAGTTCATCCTCCTCATGCCCTGCATTGATCCACCTGTCCTTCATAATTTGCTATAAGGAAAGGTTTTTGTTACTACAGTATACTTAGTAGCAAAGAAAGTGAGCTGTGGAAAGAATGACTCCCCCATCTAACAAATACTAATGCTAGCTCACATTTTTCTTTTTCAGAATAGGCCCCGGCACATAATCAGTTTTGCTTTGCTCCTGTTACAGGAATCAACTATGCACATCAGGGTGAACTACTGCCCAATCAGCACTATTCTAGCACACAGCTGAAAAGTGAAAGTCCAGTACACAGACAAGGAGCACCAAGTCACCTCTGACAAGTCACAGTTAACTACAGAAGTTTATGGAAGCCAGCATTATTTTGGTCTTTTTTCTCCACAATGGCACAAAGTGCAAGAAGAAGGCAACCAGACTATATCCTAGTAGTGAATACTCCCACACCATTTTTGTTAAGTTTTGGTTGATCATCCATTAGCACAGGAATCAAAATGCTTGCTATCAGGAAAAATGTGTCTGATGTGTGCAGTGTAAAGTCTCATTCATATTGGAAGTAATGAAGAGTTGGTTGTCTTGTAATTCCTGCAAATAAAACTTAAAAAAAAAAAAAACAAAAAAAAAGGTTGTGTCTTCTACTGAATTCCCCTGGAACCCACTCCAAATAAACTATTCATGAATAGCATGACAGTAAGTCACTGACCAGCTCAAAAATAAAGCTTGCAAAATATGACAATGAGCTTATTAAAACAGTTATTTTCGCCATTACCTCTAGAGTGCCTCTTTTTGTTGGGTTTAGCACCAGGAAACGTTTGAGGAGGTTTTCACAGTCTGTGGACATGTAGAAAGGAATCCTGTATTTCCCCCTTAGTACTCTTTCTCTAAGTTCCTTGGTAACAGAAGAAGAGACAGTAAGTTGTAAGCAGCGCATAACTAAAACATTAGGAAACATAACCCCTGAAGGCCAACATTCCTGCACAAAGCTCACCTTTAAGTTCTGTCCATCAAAAGGAAGAGATCCGCTCACGAGGGTATAAAGAATAACACCTAAACTCCAAACATCTACTTCAGGTCCATCATATTTTTTCCCTTGAAAAAGTTCTGGAGCAGCATACGGTGGGCTGCCACAAAAGGTGTCCAGTTTATTTCCAACTGTAAACTCGTTGCTAAAACCAAAGTCAGCTATTTTAATGTTCATATCTGCGTCTAGCAACAGATTTTCAGCCTGAAAGAGAAAGAAAGGTTTGTAAAATAAACTTAAAATACTAGATTTAAGAGGCTACTGCCCATTTTAACTCATTCTTAAAATGCAAATAGCTGGAACATCTGTTAACATTTCCCTTCCCTGCAAGGTCTTTTGATATACTTCTGACTGTTGTTCACAAATTCTGTTTTAAAATAGTCTATACAATGGCTTCAGTCTATGGCAGCTGTTGTGATAACTGAAAACTGTGCTATTACCATCTGTTTTCTCCATGGAAGCACCGTAGCTAACATTTTTAATCTATGAAGATTAAAAAAAGAATTCTCTCACTACTCCTTATTTACATGGCATTCCTGCAGAAGTTTGATAGTACGCACAACCTTTAAATATTTTTCAAGTTTGGACTGGTGCATTTTGTTGTGCTTTTAATTTAGAAAGCTCTGATATATTTAACATTTTATATAGCAATATATTAATACAAAAGGCACAGTTTCAAGAAGGGATAGGTCGAGGCAGTATGGTATTAAAGAGGGGAGATTTAGATCTGATGTCAGGAGAACATTTTTTACTCAGAGGGTGGTGAGGCACACAGGAACAGGATGCCCAGAGAAACTGTGCCAGCTGGATGGGGCCCTGGGCAGCCTGAGCAGGTGGGGGGCAACCAGCACAATGCAGGGGGTTGGAGAACAGTGGTCTGCAAAGTCCTATCCAATCTAAGTCATGCTGTGATTCTACAATCACCATTTTGTGTCAAGCAACAAAAAAAAATAATCATTTTTTAGTTTTGTCATCACGATTGATCATTCATTCTGTTCAAAATCAAAACTTGTCACACCTCTATCAAACAAGGTTTGTGGAGAGTTTTTTTGTTTGCTTTTAAGACCTTGCAGCTAACACTGACCTCTAGCAGATTGAAATCTGATCAGAGAGTAAAATGCTATCTTTCAAAAGCTGTGAGATTTCAGTATTGAGAAGCATAACAAATCCCTTTATTTGAAATAGTTCTATATACTGTAAACATTTACCAAAATCTGCTATAATGTAAGCAAAAGAAACCCCCCACCCCAAAGTATATCCTACATTTTATAGGCACAATAAAGATCACACCCACAGGTACACAAACCAGCAGTTGCAGACACACACACGCTTTTCCCCACTCACCTTGAGATCTCTATGAACAATATGCTTTTGATGGCAGTACTGCACTGCAGATACTATCTGGATAGAAAACAAGCCCAATTATATAAGTGGTATCTCAAAGAAACAGTTTTAATCAAAAAGTTCAACATTTATTACTAATGTGGAGAAGTACTTATCAATTCAGAGCTATATATGCAACTACTCCAACATATTTACAGGAAAGTTGATAAATAACTTAGGTTATTTAGGTGTTTGTTATTTAATTTGGTTTCTACTACATTTCAAAGAGGATTTTGTTTTCTCCTGTATGACTAATATAGAACAGTAGAAGCAATGTCTTACAGAAAGGTTACTGAAGTATTTCCATTCCAATACTATATACAGCTATAAAAGCTTTCCCTCTAGACTGAAGTTTTCCAGCCCCTGTCCAAAGGTGATTTTTCATGCCATAGCATGGAGAGGAAAGGCTAAGAAATGGCATGGCCACTGGAGAAATTACTGGGGAAAAGCTTGTCTGGCTAAGTTTCAATTATGCACTGACAGACGACCACGTATCTGACAAGAGCTGCATATGCTGTTTCATATACTGTGTGGGAGTAGCAAACAATAGAAAAACTATATGCAGAATAATCCAGAGTAATTTCTTCCATCATCATTTCCAAATATCCTTGGTTTTTCCTGCTTTATGTAACTAACTATATAAGCTACTTACACAGCTGTCCCAGTATATTGCTTTAGAGCTACAGGCACAGAACTTTACATGTAGAGAAAAGCTGGAAGGTCATATTGTTACATGATCACAAATGCTGTCAAAATTTTAACGTAATGCACATGTGTTCAGAATTGAGGCAGATATTATAATTTAAAATATGTTAATTGCATGTAAAAACAATTTACTGTAATAACTACACTTAAATACATGCATTTCCATTCTGTGTTGAAGATTAACATTGAGTACAGAAAGATGAGATGACATTAATGCTCCCAAAAGTAACTCATTAGAAAGTAACCCAGCTTAGCATAACAATCCTCCTGCATCTGTAGGAAGCAATGAATGTTGTGCTCTCAGTACTCAGAATAGATGAAAGCAAGGTTCTTGGCAGGTCAAAGTGTCCTACCAGCCAGTTTCATTTGAACTTCAGTAATATTGTCTTAACCTTTGTGCCCCTGCATCACTGAATCATGCAAATCTGCAAAATGCCATCTTAGAAGCCAAGTGTTTGATGAAAATTGAAATACTTCTGTTTCCTACACTTCCATTCTGCTTTTGTTCCTTTATGCACTGATAACACTCCCACTTCAGCTTCTGCCAGCCACTAAAGCAGATGAGTTCTCCTATGACACCACCTGTACAATCCATGAGGTTCTCCCTCTCCTCCCCACTACCATTCCCTTGCACCAGTCACAAGCTCCCCTTCCCCAGGTGCTCCCAAGCACCACAAACACCTCATGCTTTATTCAGCACTGCAGAGAGGCAGCATGATACCACTCGCTTCTGAAATGCTTTTACTCTAAGAGCAGGAAGTCTAGCAGATTATCAATCAGCTGTTTTCTCCAGGGATACTTCTGAACTATTCTGCACCGCAACAGCATAGCACAGACTCCAGAAGCAAGCCAAATCCAAAAGGAAGGGAAATAATGCAATGCATGTAAGAAAGATTAACAACAATCAAAACTGAGTGAAGAACACAAAGTATGGCTTCACTGGGTTGAGTTCCTTGCCTTCCACGTTCTGTCACTTTTTCCTTTGCAGCCCCCTCATTCCCCAACCTATTAGTGTGAGAGACTTGCTGATACTTTGTAGGTGGAGATAACAGGGCAAGAAACAGAAGACTTCTAGCTGTAATAACAGGAGCACTTCAGTGCATTTCCCTGGAGGAATTTAAAAAAAAATCCATATAATCACAGGATTTTAAGAACAAAATGGCACATGTTATCTCTAAGGAACTATTCTTTGTGAGGATTAGCTGATTGAACAGAACAACAAAAGGACAGACAAACAACGTCCCGAGGTCTCTTCCACAGTGCTAAAATGAGTATTTTGTTTTTTAACTGAAATATACAACAGTAACATGGATTTTGTGGATTTTTTATTTTCTAAGACTTGCCCTAATATATATCGCTAACAAAACTCAATGAACTGCTTCTACAGGAAAGAGTGGGAAGACTGAAGGAAGCCAGATCTAATCTGATACAGTAGAGGAAGAGAAGAAAATGAATTACTTTCCATTTTCTATTTTTTCGGTGGGAGGAGAACACTCATTCACCTTCCTCTTTACCTGACTCCCCATTTTTGCATCAATTCTTAACCAGACAGGCAGATTTCTTATGAAGTAAGGATGGTGAGACTGAACCAGAACTGTCTGGAAATCCGTAATGGGGAAATTAAAACTAGGTGACATTAAGAATGCAAAGCATTCTGGATTTGAATTTCTCATACACGGCTGCACAAAAGGAAACTGAAATGGAGAACTGCAAAGCATGGCTGTATTTTTAGTGTTTGTACCTTCTCATGTGTTCCTTTTCAAGCATGACTGGAATAACTTGATCACTGTCTTCTTGTATTTTTCCACCCCCCTGCTAAAAGGCCTAAGTATGCATAACAAAATGGACAAAAGATATATTTGTATATAAATATATCTTTAAACAAGTAAAGATGGGAGAATTACCAAATCCTGCTCCTTGTCTGGTAGAGAGAGAAACTAAAATGCTGCTTCTGATAAAACACAAACGTTTTATGCTTAGATTACGTCTACTGAAAGAAGAAACAGTATCTGAAAATAAGATATAATATAATCTATTGTAAGTACTAAGCTCAATGCCATGGCACAACTGTTTCTGCAGTTTAAAGAGGCCTCTTTCTGTTAAACTAGTTAGTGAATTAAAAAAAAATCCCTATTATGTCCTAAATCCATCTAATGTTAGGACAGCTGCACTGAATCAGATAAAAGTCCTACACAGAGCATTCTCCCTCCAGCAATGGCTAAAAGCTATATGAAGCTATTGTGAGACTTCAGTAAGGTAAAAATGAATGGTTTTATGACCCATAAACCCAGTAAGATCTAGTTTCCTCTCACTGTCCTGCAGTCAAAGTCCTGGTGTTGGATAAATGTCAAGCTCTGATCAAAGTTTTCTGACTTCTGTCCCACATGCATGCTCTTTTCTCCAGCAAAGTGTGATGAGCTCACACTATAGCTTCTATCCTTAGGGTATTACTATGGTTCTTTTTTTTCCCCAGACACTCAAGCTTTTGTTGCTCTCAACAACCTATCTTTGAGATCGAGATCCTCTACAATTGGCTGAATTCAGCAACCAGTAAAGTCAGCTATTGAGGAAAGACAGAGGCAGCTGCCTACTCCAGGTTTCTGAAAGGAAACAAGACTTACAGAAACAGACTTAACACATATTGCAGTAGACTGAAGTGCAGCCACCCATGTATCTTTATGAACAGCATTTATCCTACTGAACTAAAGAAATAAAACAGGGAATTTGAAGTAAAACACTAAACGGGTCAAACATTCAGCTTAGCAGTTTTATCTTTTAAATTCTTTTCCTTTGTTTTTGAAGAAGGTGGGGCTTTTTTTTTTTTTTTTGGATGTTGCCTATATCCAGTACTACCCACATTATTTTATAAAACATGTCTGATGTGTTTCCACAGGTTCTCACATAAAGGAGAGTTGAATCTTTGAGAGAAAAAAAAAAAGTAAATGTGCAATGGAATTACTGCAAGATTCATTTCTGCACAACTCCTGCTAAAAGAAAGGTGGCACGAAGATCAGAGAACTAGTTCTCAGCATTCACATGTGAGAAAGAACAGCAAATTCTTTGAAGATATTCTGAAAAACTTCAGGTGACATTACAAAGAAAAAGGCAATGGCTTGGGATTTAAAGACAGCTAAAATGGAAATGACTGCTCTACATCACAGCACAATTGATCATACATATTCCAATGCACAGCAAAGTACATAAGAAGTACTTAATCACAAAGGAAAGTGCTCTACCTTATTAAGGAATTAATGAATATTAAATTTAAAGACATAAGGTTTTATTACAGAGGTAGAAAATTTTTCCTTATGCTAAAGCTCTATATCAATCTAGTAAACACAAATCACATCTCCTGAAATCTGCAGCTGCCTTTTTTGTTCTTTGTTTCTTTTTATCTTCTGCAAAAATAAATACAAGAATTCTTTATTAATTCTCACAAATTCATCAAAGTTATCCAATGGGATGCTAATCACATAAGCACTTACAAGTTTCTGCACAAGAGCAGAAAAGAGAGTACATTAGGCCAGTGAGATCTGCACATGAAAAACCAGCTGCTACAAGAGGATCTGGATCTTTAGTTATGCAAAAATATTTATGTTCAATATTGCTTTACTGTAGAACAGAAATGCCTTTCTAAAGATGAATGAAATTCCAGCATTTTCACAAGTTCAGTTTATCCATCATAAAGAAAACTATAAACTAACAAGCCTAGAAATTATTCTTCAGTGATATTTTAGAACAGCTGTTAAATTGCATCTTTTCATACAAGTGCATGCGTGTGAACGGGTGCCCACTCCAGGCACTGCCCATGTCTGCTCCTGACCTGCTTTGCAGTGTGTTATACTTGAACAATCTCCAAAAAGTTGCAGACCAGCTGAAGTAAGGATATATGAAATCAACCCAGAGGAAATGAATTTTGGAACAGAGTCCACCAAAGCAGTCACTGTTCTGGCACTCCCAGACACCCTGGCACGAACACTAAGGAAGCCAGCACTGCTGAGTGGACTGCTAACCTCTCCAAAATACTGCTGAAATCCAAGTTTCCTCTCACTGAGTGCTACGAGTGCTACAAGTCCACACATCCCAGTGAACATTGCTAGGAGTCAAACACAAAGGACAGTTGTTTCATCTATTTCAGCATTAAAAACAAGGTGGAAAAAGCTGATGTATAGGAATGTTATACATACCTGTCTAAATTTAGCTCTTGCTTCCTTTTCCTTCATTCTTCCATGCGCAACCAGATAGTCAAACACCTCCCCTACAATTTAATAATGAGACACATTAATACCAACTCAGAATGCAGAGATTCCTCTCTAGCAGCTACCCACAGCAGCTTCACTGGAATGACTGTATTACAAGTTGAACTTGAGGTTAAGGTTATAGGTTAGCCCAAGGGAACAAGGCAGAAGAGAACACAAACAACATCATCTTTTACACAAGAGAACAATAAGGCTTAATGAAAAACTGGATATAGACAAAAACATTTCCTTCCAATTGTTTATGACAGAAAAGGAATGGCAATACTTCTACTTTGTAAATAGAGGTGACTTGTACTGCTTCACAGACTTTCTCACAAGGGTACCTTTTGCACTGCAAAAATAAGCTTCATATATGAAAGTGTCTGATGATACCTATAAATATTGTTATACCAGGACCGTAATTTGTCTTTGCACAGACAAATGAAGTATTTTAACTAAAACAGAAATCTTAGACATAACCTAGGCCTGAAAGAGACATTCCCAATGAAAGCTGTAATAATGAACCTAGCAGGATACTGAGATGACCCATCACACAAGCATGAGGTCAGTAAGACAGCGATGTTACAGAATCACAGAGTGGCCAAGGTTGGAAGGGACCTCAAGGATCATGAACCTCCAACCCCCCCTGCCACAGGCAGGGCCACCAACCTCCTCATTTAATGCTAGACCAGGCTGCCCAGGGCCCCACCCAATCTGGCCTTGAACACCTCCAGGGACGGGGCATCCACAACCTCCCTGGGCAGCCTGTTCCAGCACCTCACCACTCCCTCTGTAAAGAACTTCCCTTGACAGCCAACCTAAATCTCCCCTCCCTCAACTTAAAACCATTTCCCCTCATCCTGCAGTTATCAACCCTTTCAAAGAGTTGATTCCCCTCCTGTTTGTAGGCTCCCTTTAGGTACTGAAAGGCTGCAATGAGGTCACCCTGCAGCCTTCTTTTCTCCAGGCTGAACAAGCCCAGCTCCCTCAGCCTATCTTCATATGGGAGGTGCTCCAGTCCCCTGATCATCTTCGTGGCCCTCCTCTGGACCCTCTCCAACAGCTCCCTGTCTGTTTTGTACTGGGGCTCCACGTTTGGACACAGTATTCCAGATGGGGCCTCACAAGAGCAGAGTAGAGGGGAACAATCACCTCCCTGCCCCTGCTGGCCACCCCTCTTCTGATGGAGCCCAGGATACCATTTGCTTTCCAAGCTGAAACGTACAAGCTGAATTACCTCTGAATGTACAAGCCCAATGTTGTATGGCAGCGGATGTCTAAAGGAGACTACCAAAGTAGCACAAAAATCTGTGCTTTTTTAAAACTTTGTTTTTCATAGTTTTTAAGCCAATCTTGCCATTTTGAAGCATGTCAGTACGGGCTACATTTGAGCTCAAGGCACAGCCAACAGGCCCGTGGAACACTGGTGCACTGGTGAAAGCACAAATCTTAACTAAAAACTGATAAATACAAAAAAAAGAACTCCGAACAGCACAGGTTAGCTCAGTTTTTAAGATTCTTCATCAATATGCAAGATTAATATTCATTTTAGAATTGGATCAAATACTTAAGTACTCTCTCTTGAGCAAGATACCACTGTTTTGCAGATAACCACCTCATAAGGAAATTGCTGAGTAACTTCACATTTGTTTTTAAAGAAGGAACTTCAGCAAATTGAAATAATAAAAAAAGCTAGAGTCATCCAGCAGAAAAAGCAATAACTGAGCATTCTGAGGGAACGTGAGGATTTTCTACAGAATATCCTTGCTTCCCTCATAGCATTACTACTTAATACCCAAGTCAGAAAATTATCTCAGGTACATTTCACAGCCATTTCTTCAGAAAATTTGAAGCAGCAAGGCTGAATGCTTTCATAATTTAGGTAAAATGATGCCAGATAAGGAATTATAGTCAATTTATGCAAAATACTGCAGTTACTGGAATACAGTTCCCCTCATCTTCCAACCAGGGTTCACACAGCTCATGTGAGAGCATCTCTTGAAAATAGAAAATTGATCTTTGTCACTCAGAAAAGTGGCCATGCCTGCTTTGAACAACATCACGTGTGCACAGAGCACTGCTCACAGCCTTTCAGTGCAATATGCGTTTCTCCATTACTCTAAGATCTCCTTACTTCAGAGAACTGTTGGCCCTTCTACCTTGTGGAAGCCAATCACTAGATGGCAATAGGACTTCGCTTTTAAGTGTAGCACCATCGAACTGCAGAGATGCCTCCACAAATGTGTACTGGCCAATATCACAAAAGTGTTTTACAATGTTTGTTTCTGTTTAGACAAAGCTTGGCTAAACATTCAGGGAGTTGCTAGAAAACAACATGGGCAATCTGGGGATCCTTTACATGTTTTATAATCATGATCTAACCTTCACATAATCTAACAGAATTCAATGTCGAAACTTATCTGAGACTAAACTCTATTTTCCTCCCAAAGCTGAAGAAAAGGCTCAACAATTTGAGATTCCCAGATGCTGATGCTAAAGGGTCACATTGACAAAGAATGGGCTATCAGGTTTTAGCCAGCCAAGAGTAACTTAAGCCCAAATACCTTAATTCTAGCTCTGCTGAAAATATCTGACGCTGCATGGTGCAGACTTTTTCCCCCCCTCTGCAATCAGGAATAAACACCTAAGTTCCTCCAAAACTTCCCTCCTGAAATGGACATAGGTTGTATAGTAATATTTGACAGCAGAATGCCTGTGATGAAGATATGTCAAACACCACCAACACCTAGAAAAACCTGAAGCTGCAGTACTCTTACTTTTGACACACCCCATCCATGTTTTTACCAAGTATCTTATGCAAAAAACAACACTAGTCCTGGGGAGCTGAATACAATGAAGGCTGACATTTGTTACAGACAAGAGCAATTAAAGGCTGAACAAAGATTCAAAGATTGCAATTAAATTTAAGTTGTAAAACAAAGCAAAGGTTACTAAATTCCAGTAAGCTCAGAATGAAGGTTTTCAAGATATGAAGACTGAACAACTTCTTGAGACTACTAAAGACTGCTTAAATTTGTATCCTACCATGACATTAATATTTGCTAAAAATGAAACTAAAGCATTAAACTAAAAAGTGCTTTCTGCAACCTGGCAATTTGTTTACCTCTTGGTTCTAATAACAAACTTACTTACCCCCACTTGCATATTCCATTATTAAATAGAGAGTTTTTTCAGTTTCAATGACTTCAAATAACTTCACTGGAAAAGAAAGCAATTTATTAATCAATTAGCTAGTTGCAGAATTATTAATTTAATTCCATAGGGAATTTTGTTGGAGAACAATAATTTGCTTGCTGCTTGACAGTATCAGAATATTACTCTAGAGAAGCTTTTTTCCTCCAATATCCCTAAATGGAAAATACTCCAACATATTTGCTCAACTCATAAGGATCAACATTTTGTCATGAAACAAGACTGCTGGCTACGAGGAAAAAGCAAGTAACTTATGCAGAACTTCCACAAATTTGGGTGTCAGCACAGAGCATCACTAATAGCCATTTTTACACACTGTCCTGGAATACATGGTGACAAGTAAGTAATCAATCAGTTTGCTGACAGTACTATAACAGAAGGGCTTCAGCTAGGCCTTACAATCCTGAATAATTTCTTGATCATTCCTTGTGTTGGTATAGAATTATTTTAATGAGAAATTAAATTCAGTAAAAAACATTATTCTACTCAAAAGATGTGAGTTATCAATAAGCTATGCTATGTAAATACCAGTTTCATGTAAAAGGATCAACATTTTTAGTTTTGTTAAACAGGTATGACAGTGTATTTTTTTTTTTTTTACTGCTACATAACAGTATATTAACCCTCTAGTGCAGAATCTTCTTTTAAACTTAGATATTACATGAAATAAACAAGGTACCTATATTTGGATGATTTAAGATCTTCATTATTCTTACTTCTCTAAAGAGCTGAAATAAACATAAAATATGAAATGTTAATGAAAGTAATAGGCAACATCTGTTCTTCCTGAAGCCTGATGTGATATACTTCGCTAATTTTAAACACAAAGAGCAAACATTACTATTAGCATTTCAACAAAGGGCATTAAATTAACCACTTACTGGAGGGAAGAGCTAAGTACCTCCTTGCTTTAAGCCTGCCCTAAAAACCTGAAAACACCCTTAAAGTGCTGCAGATAGCTCAGGAAACAAGTGATCTCATGATCTCAGCTCTGTGGTTCTCACACCTTGGGGCCCCGTGGACCACTTTAAGCTTACGCAGCTCCTCACAGGCCACCACACATCTCATACACTTTCATATCTTCATAGAAAAAGCTTGGTTTCAGGGCGCTACAAAATCCTCTGCAGAGCATCATTGGAAGACCACTATATTAGGTTACTGGTATGAACTCTTCACCACTTCGTTGGAGGTCAGCCTTCCATAGGATGCTACAGAAATGCTATGGTGCATGACAGGAGCTTGGAGGTGAAAAATCAACTGCTTATATCACAAAAACCATCTGTTCAGTGAGCAAGTTTTATGCACGGATAAATGGTCATGTGAGTCTCCTCCTTGGGCCCTCAGAGCACTCCTTCAAGACGCCTAAGGCACAAGAACATCTAGTTCAGGCCTTGGTAGCATAGCTTCAAGAATTCAAGGCTGCTGACCCAGTGCACAGACTGTGTTAGCCAGTTCATAGGGCAAAACTCCAATGGTCTTTTCATCACCAAACACTCCCTGGTAGAGAGAAGATACTACTATCTGAGGGTAAAACCTCAGAGGGATCAACCTCTCCACCATGCACAGGCCTGCTGCCTTCCCTGATGCAAGCATTTGGGTTAATCTGAATTGATGCACAAGGTCAAAGCATGAATTTTACAAGAAAATCTCACCAAAACCTCCAAAAATCCATAAGCCTTCTGCTGCAGCTCCCTTACCTACCCTAGCGGATCTATTTTAGCAGAAGGGATGGGGGCAGTACAGATGCCAGAGGAGTACAACCACCTCTTTTCAGCCACGGAATGTATTTAGTTCAACTGTGTTGTGTTCACAGACCACATACTGGCTCTGCAGGGCTTCTTTCCCTAAACGCTGACAACAGCAGTCATGGGAGGGGGGTCTTGCTTGAGTAGTTACTTCCAAAGAGTTCAACTCTGCCTAATCAAACAGAATACACTCTGTCCTCCTGCAGTGGGACATGCAACTGCATTTAACACATAACAAATGAAAGCCAAGCTTGTTACTGATCAGCTGTTAATTATTTTCACCTTTGAAAATTCTCTTCTATAAAAGCCAATTTTAAGAGGCACAATAAACACAGTGTAACATTAAGAATGCCGCAGGTGTTGTTATTGCAATATAAAATGTTTTAAAGATGCTTGTTAATAGTAGATGAAATAATAGTAATAAATTAGTCCCATTTCTTCTCCCAGAGAAGACTAAAGATAAAAAAAACTACAAAAAAAAACTCCAAGTGCAAATACTGTTGTATTCAGATTCCTTCAACTCTCTGCAGCCACTGTTAAAACAAACAGCAACAAATAAAACCCACAAAGAATGACCTTTTTAGGCAGCATGTTACACGGTAGCCATGCACGTAACATCTCTTCCTCTACAGCTCCCCCCGTGCCAGCCCAGGACTCCAGATGGCTGACATTCTTAAGCCTTGATTATTTTCTAACAGCATGCTTCAAAATGAGGGAGTAATTGAGTGGTTTTATTATAAATCTAACACCAACATCTACAGGAACACTAGTAACATAGCAGATCATACGGAACCCAACGTAAAGAGACCAAAGCAGAAAGCAGACTCCACAGGAGTGCAGACAAGGGAAAAAAAGAAAGCATTTTCTAAAGCAAGAGGTAACAGCATTGTTGCTAACAATAAGAAAACAAAAATTGCTGCTATTAAGTTTCACCTTCAGGTTACATTTCATGTGAAAGGAAGATATTTCATATGTCTGCATCTATTACTAAGGACTCAAAAATTCTGTGTAGTTACTCAACAGTTACTAAATAAATAAAGGCAAAACAAAGGAAACAAAAAACAACCAAAAAGCCAAAAAAAAAAAAAAAAACAATAAAAAAAACCTTCCACCTTTGTGTCTTTTCATACAACAGACTGGAGAGCAGTCTTAATCTTTTTCTGCTTTCTGATGTTTCTGGCAAGGCTGCCATCTGGGTAGCAATCTTCATCAAACTGCCCCAAAAGCTTTGCCCTCTATTCTACAGCCAGAGCTGTGAATGGCTAACTGAGCACCAAAATAAAACAAAACTGCTTCCAAATGGTTTTCATTATCATACAATCAATTATCCAGGTCTGTCCCTGACACTTCACGCAAAATCTATTGGGTCACAATAGGCAACACAGAAAAATACAGTTAAGGAATGAGGCTAACATCCACAGCGTCATCATGTAAACAAATGTACTCATTAATCTAATCTTTTTATACAGACTGCTGACATGGCTGGAGCTGGCTACTTCCTCCATTGCAGTTTGATGGTCTAATGCGATAAAGCCGGGCTACATTTTGGGCTGTTCTAAATATATCGTTTGTCTACAAGACAACTACTCGCTGCTTTACTCGCCCAATTGAAGCCTATCAAAAAGTGTCTTCTACATATGAGCCATTTGTAGAAGTGGGTGACTGGAAATGAGCTTTTTAAAAATGGTTATTCTTGCCTTAGGGAGAATTCAAAATAGAAACGCTTAAGAATAGGATACAAGCTCCACCAAATGTTTTATTATAATTTTAGTTATATAAATGCACTTTAGATTGTGTTCCATAAACAGTTTAAATGTTATGTTTGGCATTTTGACACATACAGCAACTTCTACCGGGACTAACATTGTATTATACTGTATTTCTGTAAGGAACAGACCATAAAACATGATATGGCTTTCACATACTGTGCTGAAAGAAGGTTTCCTGGATTTAATTCCCCCACAATACAACGTACACCAACCTCTGGTAAATGCAGTATTAATTACTGCCAGACTCTCTAAAGCCCACAGCACAATTCATTAACAGCCATAACTGGCTGTTACAGAAGGTGTTATATCATTAGAAGGGGTAACATCAGGGTTCTCCACTCCAAAAATCATTTTCTTAGTTTCAGGAACTTGTCACCATGTGACCATAAAGGCTGACAATCAGCTGCAAGCAGTGCTTATCAGTTTAATTTCTAATACAGAGATTAGAAACAACTCCCAGCATGTTGAATAGCTCATTTTCCGTCAACAGGAGCTCTACAAATGTTTCCAGGGAAAGACAAACATCCGAAGTCTGCCAAACAAATGGCTTTCAGCTTTGTTGTGGTCTGGTCCTTTGACTGTAAGTTATGTTAGATACAGGGAAAGAATTTAATGCTGCCAGGGGACAAACAGCACAAAGAAAATCAGCAACAAAAAACAGACACATACCAAGTAACAATCTTGAAGCAATTTTACTTGAACTTTATTATGCTGATACATCTAAAACAACACGGATCGAGGAAACGGGGAATCAACATTTAAGCCAACTCTTTGAATAAGCTGAAAGACAGATTACAAGTGTTCCTGCATTAGCTATTGCTAGAGTTTCATTAACAAAGGACTTCAAAAACACTGAAAAAAAGTTCGCTAAAAAGCAAGTCAGTACGTAGTCAGATGCAGAGCCCATTTCCTGACCTCCTTCCCTCAAAGCAGGGAGGCTTTGCACAAGATGTTCTCTGAGCCACATCAAGCTTTAACCATGTGTTAGGCTCCTCCTGATAACTGCTCACTGAAATACACCCGATATATAATTGGGAGCCTCAATCAGGAAGGCTTTGCGCAGCACAAATCTGCATCAACTAAAGAACTTGGAAACAGGCACAATACACATTAAGAAACAAAAATTCTATGCATTTTAAACTCTCATACCTTCCCTGTGCTTTTCAAAACACAGACAAACACAAGGTCAGAAAGGAGACAGTGCACGTAAAAACTTACAGTTTAAAAGCTCTAAAAAGATTTTAGGAAAAAGGTCTGAACAGAAACATTCGGCTGAGGAGCCAAGTTCTAAAAAAGGAAAATGAGAAGTGATTTTGTGCTGCTACGTGGGCTTGGTAAAAATAAAAATGATGCATATAATGGCACTGCTAATTCAAAACAAAACAAACAATTTTTTTTGGTCTAGAAGGAAGTGAGCTACTGTAGCATCAACACTTGTTTCCAGTGAGACCGACAGACCGATATTCACTGGGACTGGGTACAGAAGTACATTTTTGGAGAATAATGACTATGACTAACAGCAGTAGCATGGGAAAAAAGCTCTAAGAATTCCCTTTTCTTTTAGGGCAGGGAAGTACTGACTACAGTTTCCTCTTTCCTAAGCAAAAGCAGCAGAGCCACTGTAATTAGCTCCTGAAACAAGAGTTGGAGTAGCTGTTGTGTCTCTCACAGGCTGCTCGCTCCCCTGAAGAGCAGCACTGCTGAAAACTCAGCGGTCAGAGCTGCAGCCACAGTGAGAACTGCTGCTCGAGGGGGCGAGGCACCCACAGCAAGGGAAGCCCCTCCTGCAGCTGAAGGATAGGTGTGAATAATGTAAAGCTGGAAATCAGCCTTAATCCCCTTGTTTCACCACCCGAGGGTGAGCAGACACGCAGGCGGCAGCCCATGCTCCACACCCCACCTCTTCTCAGCAAAGCCCTTTCCTCCATGCCGAACCTTCACAAGTGCCAGCCCAGAGGCACTTCCATCTCAGCTCGCCCTGAACTCCGGGTCATGCACACAGTTTGCTTCCAATGCACCGAGTCTACGGCAGTGCTGACAATGCCGGAGTGGGCAAAAGCTTTCCGAAAAGCTTTGACGAAGCAAAATCGATAAGTAATGCGCTGTGTGCTTACTGTGCTAAGTAAGCACTCAACATTAAGGAAATGACTTTCCAATTCTGAATGGAGAGCATGGACATACCTTGCTAAACCTCTGCCCATGTAAAAAATGAGCTTGGTTAGAGAAGTGAACACACCAGCAATCTCAGTCTCCAAATCCCATCAGATTTCTATCCTGCTATTTTGTACTGCTCCTCCAGACTCCCATTTAGGGAACCTACTGCTAAGAAATACTGACTTACAAACCACACCTCAATGTTATACTGCCTACATAAAAATGAAATGACAGCAGAGCGCAAGAGGTGAGTGCAGGCCGAGCAGGCGGCAGCCAAGAGCTGCAGGACAGACATGCACACTTCCAGCCAGCCATGTGCTGAGTGAGCTCCAGCCACCAGGGAAGGGGAAGCTCTGCACCTGGTTTTTAGCTCCAGCACCAAGAGTCTCCAGGTAAAACCACTGGAAGGAGTAAGGTTTTACTTTTTCTTCCAGAAACACTGCCTCTCTGCTTTCTCTGATCATTTCTTCCACGTTTGCTGACCCCCTCCTGTTCTTATTACAGCTTCTGTTTCTCTTCCAAGTAGTTAAATTTTTTTCAGGTATGCCAATTTGCACAGATCCACAGCACAAATCCATTTCATCTAAATCGTCACGTTATCTAATTTGCATTTCACTTCCTTCCTGCTTTGCCAGAAATTAATAATAACATCACGAATTATGCTGAAAAAACTCTGAGAAAACTGCAACCATGAAAAAACTGTAACCACATTACCTACTTTCATCCCATCTGCAGGGGCAGTAGGAAGTAGTGACATCATTACTTGCTATGATGATGCTGCCTTCCTCCTGTGGTTGTTCTTTCTCTCTCAAACAAACCACAGAATGCAAGAACTTGTGTATTTTTCCAATTTACTTTTGCAATTTACTTTTGCAACATTAATTTTCATAAGAACAATTTCATCACGCAACCTTTTTAGTATTGGCATAAAACCCAAATGTGGATATTCTCCAGTTTACTATTATTCTATAATTTAATTTTATCAGCAGGTAAGTTCTGCGTATTCTCTCCTTCAAACAGAGATATTGCAAGGAGCTTTTTTTTTTTTAATTAAAAAAACGTACTCAAATAAAAAGCCTTTGAGTGCAGTGCTCAAAAGGACAGAGTTAGAGAAGTCCTAGGTAAAGTGACATTTAAATGTACTTCCTGCAGGCACTCGAAAGCAGATTGGCTCGCTTGATGAAAGAGTAGGATTTATCACTACTTACTAAAATAGATAAGGTGATACAACTGTAACAGCACATTAAACACTTTAAGCTAAAAGGAAGAAACCAGAATAGTCATGCTCCAAGTTATTCCATAAAACTGTAGCACCTTTTCAGCTGAAAACTATGTGAAAGGCATAGAGACTGCCTGGCCTTCAGTTCAGAGGCAATGTTTTCAAGACCAGCTGGGGAGGACAGAAGGACAGAACACACTTTCTATTTGTAGGCTCAACAAAATGACCAGCACGAAGGAGATACAGGGGCATGACACCAAACCACAGACGTTCTCACTTGTGGGAAAGGAAGCAGCTAACAGCACCATTTTCTCAGTTCACAGCCCAATACGAGCTCATGTGTAAAACAGTACATGCATTTTGAACAACTGTTCAAAACACATCTGTTACAAAACCAGTTATTAAATACAGTAGTCAGGCTTGTGCATACAATGCTTCACATTCTTCAGCACAGGCATTCAGGATTTATGGTAGGAGGTGGTAAAAGGAAACAAATTACAATAAAATGGAAAGATCAAATGCAAAAACTTACCTTTTGTAGACTAGTTGGATTCAGCTGTGTTTTGTCAATTATCTTTATGGCAACCTGAAGGGAGAGTTCAGGATCAGTATTTTCTATGTGATCAATTGTCATGTTACAACAAAATGAACAAATCCAGTAGCAAATTGAAAATTACACAAAAATACTTGGGTTTCATTAGAAAATTATGTAATAATTTTAAACTGAAAGCATTTGAAATTAACGACTGATGTATAATTTATTTCTACTTCAAACTATAAACAGGAGAGTGGAAAAATCTGATATTTTAATGCTATTAAGACAACAGAAAGTCACTTAGTCTTTGACTTTACACTAAGATCATTACGCATATTACAGTGGAAATTCTGATACCAGACTGTACCCTGCCAGAGAGCAGGGTGCCTACAGATGATATTTACACAGCATAATTACACTATGGATTATGCAGAACTGACTGTGCATTGGCAATTTATGAAGATGCTTCTAAAAGCAAAGCTTTCAGAGCAAATCGAAAATAACACCACAAATTCTGCAAAAAACTAGGTTCACCTTTGGAAATTCACTGCATATTTGTATCACTTTGCTCACTGATGGATACAAAATGAAAAACCACTTGTGTGTCATCAAAAACCCATTGGCTGTACTGCAGCAATTTGGAAAAGTTCATCCCTTTGCCTTTCTCACCTTCTGGGTAAATACTGCACAGAAATGTTAAAAAGAACAGAATGAAAACTTCACAAAATAACCAAAAGAAATTCAGTACCATGGTAACTAGTCAGAGCCTGAAGATTTGAGACAATGAATAGGCAGAGATGAGCCTCAGTGCAACGCAATTTGGATGCAGGCTGAGTTAAAACAAGAAGGAGGAATCTTGCTAGAATTACGTGCCAATTGGTATTTTTCCCTTCTAAATTATAGGCTAAACATACCAGAAGAAACTCTGCAGAAGCCAAGGAGATGGTGCCTCTCAGAGGCAAGATGCTACAAGTCAGCTGATTATAATACTTTGCTGGTACAAAGAAAGGGCTCTCAGTTCCCCTTGAATTTTTGGCTCAAATGGTAGACACTATGCCACAGCTCCTATTTCCCTGCATCAGTCTGTGCCATCTTTGTAATCTCATCAACCTGGGCTTGGCAACATATGGGATATAGAAAATCTAACACCAAAGCAAATTTGTTTCCCCGCATTCAAGTGCAAAAACACATGGGTAGTTATTATGATGGAGAAGGAAGAGGTGAACACAGCGTTCAACGCCTGGGTGTGTCACAGACTTGCGTGATACATGTGGTGCTTTCTGAAACTGAGATGCAAGATTTATTTTGAGCCCTTCTAGATGCAAGATACTGCGAGATGTCACCAAGAAACTATTTAAGAATAGTTCTGCTTTGAGAAATATCTTCAAAGGTATGTTACCAAAATTACAGATCACTGTTTCCTGAAGCAAAATTCCATTACAAAACCTTGAGAAATCACTTCAAAAATACAAACAAAAGACATACACATTAAGCAATAGATATTTTTATATTAGCAGCTGAAGACAAAACCAAGAAAGATGTTTATCTCTACTTTCATGCCTGCTGAACTCTTCTCATGCAGATAACAGTAATTTACTTTCTGGAATCTCTTAACTTCAGATTGGATGTAGAGTGACCACTACATTTTTCAACAGCAGAAAGCATTACCTGAAAGCCATCTGCTGTCCCAAGACCACCTATGTCACAGCTGTTTCCTTAAGTACACTCCAGTCAGGAGAAGCTGCATTTGCATTCTGACCCCTGCTATTCTGATCAATCTCTTAAACATTTCAACTTGTTTCAAGTCTGGATGCACTGGGTTTCAACAAAACACAGCTCACCTCTCACACTGTGTGGTGTTGCCAATCAAACTGTGAGGCCTGACACTGGCAAACAGATTCAGCCCTGGAGATACAGGGATGATACACACCTCAATGTTCTGAAAGGTAGACTCGCAGGACTGCTCAGCACGTTAATTATAGCCTTCAAGGCAGGACTGAGAGCATTACCCACACGAACACTAGCAGTACAGTATGCCAACATGGACTGTGAGTGCTTGAACTGCTCAAAGAACAGAAGACAATTTCAGGCTCCTTGATAAGGTCCCCAAACCACAAACAAAGGGAGGCTGCCCTCAAGAAAATTTCTCATGAGCTTGAAAAAGAAAATCCGGTTTTACTAAGCATAGTTAGTGAAGCATCAAATTGCCTTCTAAAGCAGAGACTTTGCTCTCTACACAAAGCAAGTTTGGAACAATTTCAAGCATTGTGTGCAATGGCCAAGGCTGGAAGAATGAAAGTTTACCTACACCATTACATTGTTGCAGCAGCCATGATATTCTGTGAGATTATTAGCAGAATTACAACTGCCTTCGCTTTCACCACACACGCTGATAACGTGAGTTAAAACATCCCTCCTATGTGGCTTGAACGAAGCCCTTAAAGCAATCAAAAAAAGCTGAAACACTAAGCAAAGCAACTGAACTGCATTCCAGTTATTTTCTCTCTCTTCAATTTCACTTTTTCCAAATGACGAGCAAAAAAGACAATGGATTCCCTGGAGTCAGACTTGGATCCTGAAAGAATTCTGTCCTCATAGAAAACTTTAACTTCCTGGCTATCAGCTGAATACTGCCCTTACTGAACAGAAGGGTCCATATGTTCTTGGCTGCGATTCCAACCACCTTGGAAACAACAAAAGGTAGTTTTATCTTTTAGATTAATTTTGGCAAGTATGGCAAATTTGTCAGAGAAAATAATTTCTGATAATTTACAGCAGAAAATATATGGCTTAAAGTCAAAGAATTAACAAAAGCAGATTTACAATGAAGATTCTTGATTTCAAATAGGCAGACAGACTACAGATAATAATCTCCTAGACAGTGGATCTCGAAGGAGTACATCTAAACACCAGCTCTAGTACAAGGAAGCCAACTCCCTCTCCTTACTTCCAGAGGGAACAGAAGGATATTCATTCCTTGGCCAAATTCAACCCCCTAAGTTAAACTGGTGTTCTGATCTCCCCCAAAGGGCTGCTCATTTTTCCCCTGCTGTGATTTGAGGGTAGGTTCTCATTCCGAACCTCAACTGAATTCATTCTGAACTACTTTCTGAAGATGGAAATGGAAGAAGTCCTTAGATTTGCTTCTGTTAGAAATATGAAATCTGTCATCTCAAAAAAAAAAATTTTAGGGAAGGACTCCAGATGTAAGATGAATAAATACCCTAGAAGAATGCTTGAGCAAATATGCCCACCTCACTTCTGATCAAGAAGTGATCAGAAAAGTACAGATCTGCTACATGATTTAGGAGTTAATCAGTACAGAGATATAAAAAAGGAATAGCTGTAAAGTGAAATGGAGCTGGAACAGCCACACACATAACAAGAAGATGGAAGTAGGGTTAAAATACAGCAAGGACGCAGGAGAGACAAAAACACGTTTAAGAACAATTCCCAAAACTAAGTATTTTATTTTAGATTTCAGTAGATAAGGTGGAAAAAGGAACAGGAACAAAGACAGGACAGACAGCAGGAATGAGTGTGTAAAGCAGGAAGTCACAAATTCAGGAAGATGAGAGCTAAGACCAAACCAAGAAAATTACTCCAGGTCTAAGAGTGGTTTGAAGAATCACCTTTCTGTTGTTAGCAACAGAGACTTATAACACAAATACAAAATGATAACATAGATTTAGAAATTGAGAATTGTTTTTTGGTTTTTGATTTTTTTTCCCCCCAAGGGAAAAGTGAAGAAAGCACCTTAACAGCCTGCTGGCAGAGACATTTACCACCAAATTCTTGAGCTCAAAACTTGCAAGGAAAAAGCAGGGAAATGGAAAGAAGGGTTAAATGCAACACACTTTTCCACTGCTAATTGTGCCTGATGGAAACACACCAAGCATGCCTACCTTGGCTACTGCTAAGCCTCACTTAGGAGGACAAACAAATTACTGTACTAAACAAACTGGAATGTGCACAGGTCTATTAATTAGATAAACAACTAGGTGAAGAGATACTAGGTTGGAAGTAAATAAGAGTTTTATAAGGATCACACCTGTGATCCATCCTGTTTAATACCTGTATCAGTGGCCTTTATCATTATGATTTGACCTCCTACGTTAAGTTTGTTGAAGGAATTAAGAATCAAATGTCAAAAACAATGGAGAACAGATGTAAAAAAGCTTGGAGATGAGAATATGCAATGAAAACAAGATTCAAAGTACAAAGTGCTGATGATGATCATGACCAAACCATTCATGTAACTGCTATGAACAAGGTAACTGTAGTCTAAAGACGGATCCAATAACTTCTGTAAGGGCAAGGGCAGACTAATGGCAGCGGGGAAACTGTCATCCAGTATGTTGCAAGCAGCTCTGGCCACATACATCTAAAATAGGAAACCACTATCAATGCACTGTAGTTTATCTAGCAGGAAGAGAAAGTCTTGTACATCTCTCCTACAAAAAAGGAAAAACAGTTTAAAATACCTTCAAGTTATTCTTGCGAAAGTAGCTTGTTTCCTTCAAAGGAATGCTCTCCTTTAGGTACCCTGGACCAATGGCCAGATCCTTGGAAGCACTCATGCTTTGAATTGACTGAATGGCATTTATGCCATGAGAAACTTAGTACCTAAATCTTTCCAAGTTTGGCCAAAGATTTTATGGCATCCCATGATTTGCTGAAATCTCAAACAATAACAGCACACAGCTGTGTGCAACTAAAAGAAACCATAGTTGTATTTTTGCAAAGCAGGCTGTCACAAAGGCTCCAAATAGGCTCTACGATACTTATCTCCAACACTCATACCTACAATAATAGCAAAGAAATACTAACCAAGTATGTGTATTTCCTGTGTTAAGAACCAGTACAGAGAGAAGGAAATTTAAGGGGAAAGCAATTAACTGAAAACTTTTTCTAGGAAAGAACACTAACACCAGAAGGCAACTGCTGACCACCAGAACTGACAGCTTTGAAAACCAAAACAAACCAAATAATCCCTCTCAGCAACTCTTGCAAAGTGATGCCTTCTCAGCTCTTCCCAGTGATATTGGATTGGATTCCATATTAACTCACAAAAATAAATTCTCCTGAAGTGCTATAGTCAACTACTTAGTTTTCTTTAAAAATTTTTGCTTTAATCAACATTTCATTAATTACATAGGTTTGTCAAGAGTAGGTCAACAAGGATTTTCTCTTTCAGTATGCAGTGTTGCTATTAATAAGATCAGCACCAAGATACACCTTGCTGTAATGAGCAAACAGCAACACAACTTTCCAAATCAGAACCATCATTAGGTGGAAGTTATTAATTATGTTACAGTGGCATGCAGAAACTAATTGTGGGGCCGAGTTAAACACTATGAAGAGATACAAGAGTAAGCCTGTCTGCAACACAGCAGAGCAGCAGACTCACAGAACAAACTGGAATGTCTTCCCAGGGCAGTCCAGAGCTGCAGACACGAGCCGAGCTCCTTGGAGACGCATCACTCTAACCAGAAAATGCTGTATTGGGCTATCCAGACCAAGCAGATCACCATAATCAAGGACATGGATTCAATGCCTTTCCTGACTCCATTTCCAGTACAGCCCTGAGCTGTGCTGGTTAGAGCACCAAGAGGCAATCTTACCAGCAAGCTTATTTGATTACTGTATATTTAGCCTGTTTTCCAGGAATGGAGAATTTAGACACGAATTCTGGTACCAAGCTGAATGCAATTCACATGCACAAAGGTTTGTATAAAATGCAAATTTAAGAGACCTTTTTCAAAAGAAGCTACTTGAGGATCATTAGAAATAAAAGTGCAGATTTTATTTTTAGGCTTTTTTCTTAAATCAGTGTCAATATCTTTAGCAAAAAGTTCACACTTGGATAACATTATTTTAAGAGATAATCCAAATGACAGCAATTCACTGTTGCTCACACCCATAGCACTTTACCTCTCTGCCTGTGAGGATGTGCCTCGCCAGCTTTACTTTTGCAAAATTCCCCTTTCCAATCGTTTTGAGGAGTCTGTAATTTCCAATATGTGGTTGCTCATCTGCACAGGAAGCTATAGAATTCCTGCAACGAGCTCCAGAGCGCCCAGTTCGAGAGGAAACTTCCTGTCGTCCATCTCCATGGGACGTGTGCTGCAATGAAAACATACACACATAAGGCTGAGAAATAAAGGAAAAAAAACCATCAATGTTGAGACAGTTTAATACTATTGATAAAATGAAAATTATTCTCCAAGAGGGTTTTTTCCTTCTTATGCTGAAATGCCTGTTCCTACAAAACTTTATGTCTGGAAATACATAAGACAGTCTGGAGAACTGTGAAAGAAATCTTAACATATACAGAAACCTCAAATATTAAGAGGTATAATTAATAGTAATTAATAGTACTTCTTCATCTCCTGGCAAAGAGCTTGTTTCTGAAAGGTCCCCCTCACATCCCTTAACTCCCAGCTCACGCCTGCAGTCTATACACCATTCCCATCAATTAAAGCATTAGTCAGATACACTCAGTAGGCTGCAGATGTGGAGCAAATGCTTGGCTCCACATAAGACAACAGGCTAAATTTACTGCCATCCCAGAATTCCCACAGTGTGCTCTCTAAAGACATCCAGAGGAGGTTTAGGACAAAAAGCAGAAGGTATTCTTAATTCTCCCCTCTCAAAATGAGAAGTTTTTCTGCTCTCTTTGCTCGTTCTTTTTGCTGATTATAGTTTTCAGAAGCAGTGGCATTCATCAAGTTAAAGCATTAGCCTCAATGAAATCTTTGCTATAACCCAAATACAAAGCAGCTCAATTTTCTGTTCAAACACTACTCAAGCATCCAAGTTGTCAGCTTAGGAGGAAAGAACTTCAAGGTTCCATCAAAAGCACAACTAAAGAATGGTTTGGGTTGGAAGGGACCTTCAAGATCATCTAGTTCCAAGTAAGTACGTATGTAGAGGCTTAGCTATCATTCTGTTTCAGCATCTCAGTATCAAATACCCCTTCACTTACAAAAACATAACCATTAGATATCTGTTACACCAACAGGCAATAAGGACTTGCAACAATGTGCTCAGGTATCTGTTTAACATATTGTTTGTTGCTTCATCTTTTCCATAAAGCACCACCTTTAGAAAGGGATCTTCAGATGTATATCCCATGGGTAAATCTACTCAGCTTCTATTGGAAACATCTATCTTGTCATCAATTGGCAGAATGGAATAAGCTTTGTTTCATATATTTTATACTGCTTTGGGAATTCAAGAATAAGGATTAGGCTTACCATATTATAAATACAAAAAGCAGCACATACACAAGCCTCCAAGAAAACAACATTCAGTAGAGGATTTAGAAGTACGTTTTCCTCTCAAGTAGTCTAAGTATGCTGTTCTTTTTCTTAAAGGAAAATTACATTTTCTGTATGACTGACATACAATTTCCGTAATATAATGGTGTTTATTTCCCAAATAACGCAATAGTTTCCTCCCTCCTTGAAGTCTGTATCATGTATGGCAGCAAGAAGTTATCTCCATTTATCCCACATTCCCTTCTGCTCTTTCCAACACTTGCCACGCTGTTTATTTCAGCCCCAAAGGGTCCCATCCAGTTAACTATCCCTTCAACTTCTTCCTGCATTAATTGTAGCTTTTCTACTCTTGCTGAAACCCTACAGGGACAGCCAAAAACCTGGCAGACAGGTTTCAGTCTGAAATCACCACAGCAAAGGGATGAGAGATCATAACTGAAGAGCTAACAACCATGGCACAAATGAAAAAAAAAAACAACAACAAAACACATGCCTGCATGGCACTTGGCAGGTTCACGCACTATTTAATAACCTGATGTAACCCTGTGACCACATACTCTGGCACCTTACGTTGCTTGGTTTGTTAATTTGAGTGCAACAGCTGTGATCAAATTATTTTTAAAAAGCCATTTGTTTCATCTACAAAATACTACCGATAGGAAGGCTACATCAACCCTCAGAAATCTGTTGCAATAGTTACTATTTAAAAATAAAAAAAATAAATGGTGCTGCATATAATGTTTTAGTGTCAATTTGGCTTTGGCTTCTCTTTATGGCCTGGCCATTGCTACCAGATTTCTACTTCCAGAGCAGCACTTAATTACTCTGGTCACATAATCCCTTTACTTTAATAAGATACATACAGCCTCCCTAAGCAGCTGCTGTACGAATGATTAAAGACTAGGAAATGTTTCTTGTAGTTCTTTCCAGAGCACTCCAATTTTTCCACCTTTAGTGGTGTTCATGCTAGCACTGGGCACACCTAGCACAATAGCAGCAGCTGTTGCAGTTGGACAAAACACAGAGATTGCATTTGTATCTGACCACCCAAAAGTAACCCCAACTCTATGAATTACTGTTTCCCAGTTCCTTAACACACACAACTCTCATTCCTGGTTCCTCACAAATGTTACCTTACCTTTGGCTGCAGTGCAATACAGTTTCCTCACACGTAGCTTATTACGTGTTCCTGATGATTGGCCCATCCTGACCTACTTATCATTTTAGCAATCTCCATCCTAGTTTTTAGGAATGGCAGTATACACGTCTTCCAAACCACTAATGGCACAAGAACCAAAAGCGTAACAACCATAACAAGATCTACATTCAAGTGCTTGATAACAATTCCACGTTTTCAATACTGTCTCAAGTCCTATGACAACTGCTAAGTGCTTACCAATAGAGCATTCTCAAGGCGAGGATCAACAAGACCACCTGCATCCTCTCCAACTGCCCAGCTGAAGGAACTACTGAAGCCAGCGAAATCCTCTTCCAACAATTTCACTGCTCTGCATGCCATTAGTGCCAGGCCAATGCTGGATGTCCAGGATGCCATGCAGTGGCATAGCAATCCTTTATACTCCCCTAAACTTTGACTTCTAACACACCTTGTAACAGATAATGCAGAGAATTTCTCTGTCAGCTCCTCTGATACCTTCAAGCATCAAGTCAATCAGACCTGCTAGAAAAAAAAAGCAGCAACTGCTGATGCTAGATAACACTCTCCTGAACTGCTACCCCTTGCAACCAGGGACTGGGATGTTCTGTACAGGATCATGAGGCCATTTCTTGGATGCGTTAGAGGAAGGCTCACTTTTAATTCACATACAGCACTCCAGGAATACAGCTGCCCTATTTATGTGGCACTACACTGAGCTGATGATTTACCTCAGAAAGGGAAGGAAAGCAGAACTAATTAGGTGACAACCTTTCCACATCTGGGCACGTGGTACAGACACGCACACTGCCTGAGCTGCCTGACCTACCTTAGGTGCAGTTCAGACATGGGCATCAGATACAACGTATTCTCAAACCTTGCGTACAGTCAATTCATAACTGATCTTACTCATATTCTCCTGCTCTGTATAAGCAGTATTAGATAAAAAACAGATACTTACATATTCCATTTAATGTAGTAAAACACTTCAGTTAATACATTTTCAGAGCCTCATTGTCCTCTGTTGAGGAATGACTTCTTGTGTCCTATAATTTTCTTCATGCTTTCTAGTTTCACACTTAAAGGCAGGAATTAACAGCTGTGAACTTATTTGGACGAGTGTTGATAAATTTAACATAATCTCCTTGTATGGAGGTTTGCATTTCCACCCTAACTCTGATTATTTCTTTTCAAAAACATGACCTTTTTCAGTTGTGTTTTTGGAATATCAAGCTGTGTGTTCCTAAGCAGTTCAGTTCTCTCCATCTGACTCGCTGAGAACTTGTATTCAGCTCCATAGAAATCTGTCCATTTACAGGAATACCTAATTTTGACTTTTATTTCATCTCACATCAGTAAACCTATCAGCAAGTCCTTCTTCTGTCAAATACAGAATTATACTGAACAGAAGACAAGCTTTCTAAAAACTGCAGAAAACAGGTTTATAGTTTCAACATGGATTTTTTTTTTTTTTTTTTTACTGATGGAAATGGTAACATACAGTACTAAAAGGTGCAAAGTCAAAAAGTGCTAAAAGTGCTGCTCCCACCCAACTCATTTTCAAGAATCTACAGTAAGTAGATGGGAAGAGAAGCTAAATGGCGTAGGCAAAAAGTACAAATATAGATGGTCCAGGAACAGTTCATCTCAGGCATTGGATTGTAAAGCATTCGACTACTCAGCTGCTTCCTAAGGCAGCTTCCTCAGCAGATACTTTGATGCAGCAAAAAGCATCATTGCAGTCTATGAGCTCCTATCTCCCCCTGAAGAAACAGTGGTGCAGGGAAGCCTGCTATCCTGCAAGTGGAGACCTGAAGGAAGGGGACTAAATGCTATGTGTGGGCTTGGACTAGTCAGTGCTCCAGCTTATTTTAAAATCAAGGTAGCCTGAATACTGCTTGTGAGAAGACAATGTTTTCCTCTATATTTCAACAAGCATCAGGTTCAATTTTTAAATCTTTTAAAGACTTCAAAGGCTTGCTTTTGTTTGTTTGTTTTGCACATGGTAGGGAGGTCCTCTAAGAAAACCTGTAAGTTTCCAAGCCAATTAGATCCCTGCCCCAACACCACTCTGGTAATACTCAACCCGTGACTTGGAAACGCAATAAAACATCTCCACCTGTGAGAGACCTTACTGCAAGGGACCGAGCCCAACACTCATTGTAACTGGAACACAACACAAAACCCACCTTTTCGCAAAAGCCTTCCCCAAGTGATGAGCTGACATCCTTTCATAGCCAGACAATGATTCGCATGAAGAGAAAGAAAAAGAAAAGAAAGTAAAAAGCAAATGAAGTATGAATGTGCTGGTTAACTGAAAGCGCTCTGGTAGGTGTAAGCTTTATCCAGTATCTGTATGCTTAGAGAGATCTTAACACTACGAGCACAGAAACCTGCATGGTAAGGGATGACTACTGTAGAAGTTGTTCTAATACTTTAAAAGGTGCCAGCAGATAAGAAAACAACTGGAAGAGACAGAATCTGATATCCACTGGAAGAGCTGAAAAAATATGAAAAAAATCCAGAATGGCGAGGACATGCAAAAATCCTGTAATGATGGTCAATAGGAAGCGTTTTTCCTGAAACAGGGAGGACAAATGCTATCAACATTTTTTTTTTAAGTGGTCATGGTGCACAATGTTGAAAATTACTTTGCCATCAACCCAGTGAACAAAGAAAAATTAATC